TATTTCAGAATTGATTATTTTTCTTGTTGATGTACATTTTATATATATCTGTGGGGTTAATCTGGTTTAATGAACTTCTGTAGCAGACTGGCAATGGCAACTATATTCTGTACAAAATGATTCACCCACATTTGAGACTCCTGTGTCCTTACAACCAAGAATAATTTTTATACACTGGTTTTTTTACCTGCTGTTTATTTTGTCTGAAATTTATAATTATGAAAATTGGAATTTACACCCAATCTGAAATGTATAATTGTTGATGTATCTGATCCTATACATATATTTGTTCAATCTGAAATTTAGTATGCTCCTGAGAAATACATTTAAAATTGTGGAGGAATTTGTTTGGCAGCAACTGAAATAATGCTGTGTTCTGGTGTGTCTGCACACCCTTGCACTCTTTCAGTGCACTGAGAGAATCTCATGTTTGCTGTCTGTCTGATCTGAAATGTATTTATATTTGTGAAGCTGACATTTATATCTGATCTGAAATGTATTTATATTTGTGAAGCTGACATTTATATCTGATCTAGAATGTAGACATGGAGTCTGATCTGAAGTGCGTAAGTGTGCAACTTTAATCTGGTTACACTGACAGTTGTGAGGGTGGAGTTTGGCATCATTTTATTTATTTCTTATCTGAAACATTTGATTTTGGAGACAAAATTTATCCTTTAATACAGCTAATAATTGTTAATGTTTATTTTTCACATTTACAACTTACATATTCAGGACTGATCTGTTTTGCTGTTTCGGTCCACATGTTAAATACTGAACACTGGCAATTAAAAAAATGGAAACAACTTTTAGTAATTTTGTCCAACTATTTCTCTGATATGTATGTTGTGTGATTTCTTATTTTGATACCAATAGAAAGATGTCACAAGGAATGGGGGAACATTGTTTCATTCTATCAGGGCACAGCTATGTATCACTGTTGGAGTGAGAGACAAGTAGAACAACATCTGGTCGCAACAGAGATGTGCTTCCTGAAGAAAATAAATCTATTATCATGGTTTTTCAATCAGTAGTATGAGAGTAACACCGTGGAAGAGATTGGGACATCACCAGGTAATACTGGCAGAGAGAGCAGCAGGTATCCTTTAGCTAGCCTTCATTGTAGAGATGGCACAGCATTTTCCCCCTGAAGAAAATAATGAACTGAGAAAATGTCACACGAAGGAAGTTGACGGTTACAAAGTCGTCTGGTGTCCCATGAGTGTGGGATGGTCGAGTACAGAAGTATCAATACACTGTAGAACTCATCTAGAGGACTAAAGTCTGTGGAGACAAACAGCTGCATGCTGTGGCACATGATGATGTATGTGTTGTAACTTCTGGGAACATTTTCACGACTGTTATGTTATTTTACAATCTACCCAAGATGGATGTTTAAATTATAACTCATACAGGTCAAAGTGAAGTATTACCTTTCATGCAACTTCTAAAATTTCTGATTTTTCAGAGATCCTGGTGTCCTAGTATGATTTAAATAATGAAGGATAGAACGACTTGGCATGAGTTAGTTGAGGGCCTATGCTCCATTGGTGGATACAAGGCACAAGAAGAAACACTTTTGCTCAAAACAAGCTTTGAGCACTAAGGAATGTTGGCGTAGTGCCAGTTGGGGCAGAAAGGAGCTACAATAAGCAGGAAAAAGGAATGATCTGTTTATTGACTTGAAAGCACTTTCATTTAAACACTTCCATACAGTCTACTATCTTCTTTCACGAATTTTCATACATGATCATAAGCAGAAAAAGAATTGACATCTTATTTTATGTGTACGTATGTTAGGTTAACAACTGTTTAGGTACATTTCAAAGCATAAAGAAGGGCGTACGACAAGGATGTGTACTGTCACCTGATTTATTTTCAATATACAGTGAATATATAATGAGAGCTTTAATTGGTATGCCAGGAATTATGGTTGGTGGGCACAATATAAATAATTTACGTTATGCTGATGACACAGTCTTGATAGCAACAAGTCAGAAAGAACTACAGGAAATGATAGACATTGTGGTGTTAGAAAGTGGAAGAATGGGCCTCAGTTTGAATAATGGGAAGACAGAAGTAATGGTGGTATCAAAGAAACGAATTATTCCTAAGTGTGTAATAAAAGTTGATGGTGTTATTTTAGGACAAGTACAGAAATTTAAGTATCTGGGCACATGGATAACATCAGATGGAAGATGCATAACTGAGATCAGAAACAGAATAGGACAGGCAAAAACTGCATTTTATAAAATGAAAAACATCTTGTGCAATATATCCTTGTCATTGAGAGTTAGAAAAAGAATTCTTGCTTGCTACATACATCCAGTTTTAACATATGGCTGTGAATCCTGGACAATAGGTAAGCAGGCCAAACAATTCCTGGAGGCCTCGGAGATGTGGTTTTACCGAAGAATGCTTAGAATACCTTGGACAGCCAAAAAGAGCAACCAAGAGGTTTTGAAAGAGGCAGGAGCTCGAAGACAACTTATCACAGACACCAGAAGGAGACAGTCATAATTTTTTGGCCATGTTATGAGAAGAGGGAAAATAGAACATGTGGTGACCACTGGAAAGATATGTGGAAGGAGAGATAGAGGTAGACAGCGAGAGAAGATGCTTGACAGTTTTGTTGCATGGCATGGAGGTGTGTCGGCACACGAACTGATACATGCTGCAGGAGATCGCAGATTATGGAGAGGCATGATCGCCCACGCCAGTCGGCAAGGCACCTGATGATGATGATCTTAGGTTAGATGCGTATCGTTTACAGGACATTGCAGAACCAACCTCAACAGCCTCTGGCTGTTGTGTGGTTTTTCTAGGCAAATTTACGTCCAGTTGTTTGCCATTGCTTTCTGGACGGTCAGCTTTCTTGATACCACTACTTAAACCAGCGCATGGCCCGCAGCTGGGACGAACCCGGCATTACGAAGCGTTCGCATCGACTTAGCCACAGAGCCGACTGTGTACATCTGTACAGCAACAAAATTTCTAATGTGCAAGTTTTTTTTTTTTAGGTGTTCACCAGCTGCAAACTTCACTGGAAATGTCTGGTCATTCACCCACTTCTGGACTTGAAGTCTGGTTCCAGAACTTGAGTTTTGCGTTCACATCTATTTTACTGATATGGTTTAGTTGTAAACAGAATGTTGGTTCCTAACCTTTCAACTCTAAAAAAAAAAATACCCCTATTTTGTCAACTTTTATGCTTGAAAAAAAATGTGGAAGTTGGTTCTATGTCTAACACCCCCCCCTCCCCCACATCTTACCGTGCACTTTCCCCCTTCCAGAACTTCTTACTATGCCCCCCCCCCCCCCCCAAGGCATCTTACTATGCACTTATGTTTGTTTAACCTGTCAATCTAAAGCTTTCATTGGCAGAGACAGAAATGAACAAACGGCATCAAGATCATAGATGGTAATTCCTGTTGAAGGATATATATTTATTTTTGTTACAGTTGCATCTGTCAGTCAATGAGAATTATTAGTAGCAACGATAAATTGTAAAAAAACACAATCAGTAGAAACAGCAGCAGTTACCAGTAAATCACAGTAACAACAGTTACCAGTAAATCACACAGTAACAACAGCAACAGTTACCAGTAAATCACACAGTAACAACGATGAGGAATCCAATTTTCCACAGTAACTGCCAGGCCAAGCAAGCAATCACAATTTCTTGTCAACAAATTGCAGCCACTAGGCATTTCTATTTCTACCTTACCCTAGTAAAGACAATGGAGCTCGCGTAGCACAGCTGGTTACTTACAGACAGAACCTTCTCTATGCTAGTTTGTGGAGGTTGAGGTCGGGGAGCCGTCATGGTGTAGTGGCTAGATGCACGCCTGAGGATCTGAAGGTTGTGGGTTCAAGTCTTAATAGAGCCAGACATTTGTATTGTTTACTCTGCACTGTTTACTTTGTACTGTTTACCCTGCACTATTTATTGGGACTGTTCGTACTGTTTACCCTGCACTGTTTACTCTGCATCATTTACTTTGTACTGTTACTCAGGTGGACAGACTGGCTGGCTGGTTCTGCACCCCCAACTGGTGGATTATTGATGCATGATAAGGCAGACATAGTTAAGGCCTTATGGGAGCATGTGTAGAATTGAGAGGATCAAACTGATGATCACAATCTGGTGAGAGTGATGCAGCGAAGTGTGACAAGAGGATCTGGCCGATACTCGAGGCTCAGAGAAAAGACAAGAGGGACATATAATCAGACTGTTACTGGCACCATTGGTATTGGAAGTCTGCACGGCTGCTGAAAATGGGGACAGTGCACCTATGGGAATGCTGTGACGTTGGTTCTTGAATCAACTTAACTGTTTACTCTGAAAGAAAGTACAAAAAGTATGGAATAAAGCATGCTGCAGAATTTGCTCGATCAGAAGGAAAGTTCTTGCTCAGTTCATCTGTCCGAGCTTCCTTCCTAGACCAGCTGCCAATCAAGGCTAAAGGTCTGGTCGCATCATCAAGTGACTTGTTCAGTGGCATGGCCAATCATTCCTCTACACAATCTGCAATCCTTAACAGCGTGTATCAGTTTGTGTGCTGACACCCCTCTATGCCCTGACACAAGGCTGTCAAGAATCGTCTCACACTTGTCTTCCTCTGTCTCTTCTTCCACAGATCTTTCCAGTGGTCACAACATGTTCCAGTTTCTCTATTTCTTATAACGTGACCAAAATATGACATCTCTTTCTACATTTGTGATAAGTTGTCTTTGAGCCCTCAACTCTTTCAAAACATCTAGGCTGCTCTTTTTAGCTGTTCAAGGAATTCTAAAACCACATTTCTGAGGCCTCAAGACATTTATTTGGCTAGTTTACTAATTGTCCGGGATTCACAGCCACATACTAAAACCGGCTCTATATAACGTGAGAATTGTTTACATTACGTTTTCAGCTGTAAACACTAAGTAACATGGCCAAGGCTGCACACGCTGTAGCTTCGTCAACAGGATGTGCAGTTCAGAAAGTCAGGCTTATTCTAAGATAACAGAGAAGAATTGCATGGCAGTGGTTTGCTGAGTGGCAATAAGGCTGGGGTCATAACAACAGGCAGTTGAAGAGCATGTACCAGTGGTATCAGGGACCGCTGATAGTCAGCTGACCCTGAGTCTAGATTCCCATTGGTGGATGGGTGATGAACTGTTCCATCTGGAAGAAGCATCTGCAGAGGTTGAACAGGCTGAATCTGCTGTATTTTATGTGCCTCTGGTTTAACCTGATTTCCCCATTTCATTTGATCTTTCAAATGTACTTTTTTGTGGCGATTTAATTTTGATGAATCCGTAAATTTTGACCCACAGAGGTCACAAGTGTATGGTTTTTCTCCCGTATGTGTACGCATATGTCTGACCAGATATGATTTTACTGCGAAAGATGATCCACAAACCTCACACGTATATGATTTTTCCCCGGTGTGAATTCTCATATGGCGGTGAAGAGACGAATTGTCTGCAAACCCGCTACCACAGATCTTACAAGGGTATGGCCGTTCACCCGTGTGGGTACGTCTATGGCGCGTCAAGGTAGAATGGTCTGCAAAGTGCGAACCACAAAAATCACACACGTAAGGCTTCTCCAGTGTATGTGTTCTCATATGTCTTGTGAATGCTGCAGTCCAAGCGAATCTTGTGCCACACATTTTACATAAGTACGGCTTTTCTCCTGTGTGTTTTCTGCTGTGACTTTTCAACTTCGAGGCCTCTGCAAAGTTAGCCCCACACGTTTCACACCGAAACGGCTTTTCACCGGTATGTAACTTTATATGTTCTTTTAAATGCTGGGATCTTATAAACGTAACTCCACAAGTGCTGCAAGCGTATGGTCGCTCTCCGTTGTGAATACGATTATGCAATTTTAATGCAGATGGATCTGTGAATTTAGAACTACATTTGTTACATTGGTAAGGTTTTTCTAATGTATGTGTGCGTATGTGTCTTTGTAATGATGTAAAGTCAGCAAAGCATACACCACAAAATTCACATGTATATGGTCTCTCTCCCGTATGGGTGCGCATGTGGCGGGTGTATGCAGCCGTCCAAGCAAACATACGACTACATACAGTGCACCGATATGGTTTCTCACCTGTGTGTTTGCGTAAATGAGCCTTCAGTTTTGAAGCCTCAGAGTACAAAGCTCCACAGGTGTCGCAGGTGTAAGGGCGCTCACCTGTATGCAGTCTCGTGTGCACTTTTAAATGTGACAGGTTCGTAAATTTTGAAAGACAGAAATCACATTTGAACTTCCGCTCCTGTTTGTGTTTCAGCCTGTGCTTCCTCAACGCTGCTAAATCGCTAAATGCTGCCTGACACATCCTACACTTCAGATTCTGCCGACGGTAATTCTTTCTTTCATGGGAACCTTTCACTTGCATCAATGCAGGAGACAATTTACTTAGAAAACTTCTATCTTCTTCTTCTTTAACAACTGCATTCTTTTGATGGTTGCCTGACTCAACCGTTTTCCTTGAAAACTTTAGTGTTCCGTTTTCCATGACTTTGTGAGTCTGCTTCGGGCTGGCTGCAATTTCTGTCAGCAATTCTGAATGCTTTTCATTACTTGTTTCTACTGTACCCTTATCGTAAAATTTTTTTTTCACTCCAAGGTGCAGTTTTGATATTTGACATTCAATGCTGTTGTTATTTTCTCCCTGGCCATCATCTGCTGATGTTTTCAGCTGAGAGACTGTTTTACATACATTGAGATTTACATCTCGGCTACTTCTCTTCTTCTGGTCAGAGTTCAAGTCAAATAATTGGTTTGCAACTTGACCAAGACGTTTTGACCGACGCAGCTCTCTCACAGGCGTGGCTGTTAGGCAGAAATTATTTGTTTCTCCTGAAACAGAATATGGCTGGCCAGAGCAGTCCCCGCCAGATTTCTGTACATTCTCTGATTGGTCCAAGAGCTCAACAGAAGAAATGGCTTCATCTAGTTCAATGCCATGACACATTGTAGATCTGATATCTTTAACATTTGTTGTTTGTTCTCCTGAAATCTGGACAGTGAAATCATCAAAGTCAGTGTTTGTACTCGCATGATTAAACACTTTCACAGATGGCTGCACTTGTCTCCCATCAGCAGTGAGTCCCAGACACTCCGAGCCAACAGAAATATCAGCAAGACCAGCCTGGTTTGTGGGGATCCAAGTATTTTGTCTCTTCTGCTGCTTTTCCACAGCCCTGCAAATGTCTATAGTTTTAGTAAAATCCAATTCTTCTGTTTCAAGGAGTCTTTGTCGAATGGTGGCATCTGGAACACCGGTGATTATACAATCCTTTAAAAGAATGTCTTTCAGATCACCAAACTCGCAGTTTTCTGACCAATTAATAAGATCCCTTAAAAAGTCGTCAAAGGTATCATCCAAATTTTGCTTGCAGGTGAAGAATCTGTAACGATTGTAGATGATGAGAAAGCGAGGGAGGCACGCCTCCTCCAGCCTCTGCAGAATTTGGCTGAACTTCACAGCTTCATCGTAAGTCAAACCAAACATGCTGAAGATCTCCTGTACTTGCTCCACTGCTATGCTCATGAGAAAAGCTTTCACAAGTCCTTCATGTTGATCTGAACTATGTCTGCTGTGGGCGTTTAGTCGCTGCTTCATGTCTGCCCATTCAACACCCGCTTTTGTGAAATCCACACAGGGGGGCAATGCAATGCTGAACTCCATATGATCCATTGTTCCTGCAACAAATTAAGAAAACTTTGTGAGCAGTTTTCAATCAAACAGAATCAACTATCAATTGATACCTGTAGGCACAAATGGGACAAAGACCATGAAACAGGAGTGCTGTGCAAGAAACAGGAATGCTGTGCAAGAAACCGGATTGCTGTTCAATAAACAGGAGTGCTGTGCAAGAAACAGGAGTGTTGTGCAAGGGGGATGTTTCACATCTTTCTCTGACTTACTTCAGCAGTGACTGGTAATCTTAGTTTCAGCTTCATAGCAAACGGGTCACCCCATAGTTGCTCCTGTCCTATGCCAGCTAAAAACACACAGAATGTTTATCACAGTTCCTTGTGGAAAGATTGACAAGACTTCTGTCTCAGCATATGCACTAGCATGCACACACATTAAAAGCATACGGTAGCCATCAGAAGTGCTAACACAAACAGTCCGACATTAGAAATGCAGTTAATCATGGGTGGTAGCAGAAGTCATCTTGCACACGCGATCAATTTTAATCATATAACGGCACCACCAATATTGCGACAACAGGCATCGCACCATTTTCTGAATCTACAATTCACACCACCATGTTGGTCACAGTAGAAAAACATTCCAAATGAAATCAGCAGCTCACAGTGTCACGCCAAGCACTCAACTCAAAACTATCCTTTCAGTCTATAAATGGAGCAAAAATGCATCGGTCACCCACTGGCAAAAGCAAAAAAATTTGCCACGGCTCACAACAGTGACCGTGCCTAGCGTCCATTTTGACCGGAAGTAGTGAGGGTTTATTAACGGTTACCCCAGTGGTGCCCTTGCGCTGGGGAAGGGGCCAGGGGCGTAACACCCATCAGCAAAGGTACGACCTGACTGCTTTCGTTAACGATTGCGCACCCCACAACCATGCAGTTCTTTGATACGAAGGAGACACCTTAAACTTGGGTTCTGGACTACCGACTATCTACATGCTCACACGCGTGTGTTAATGGTGTACCAAAGTTATCATGTTTCTCTCATTTACCATTAGCCTTATGTTCCAGCATACATTTATAAATAAAATACTATTGTCAGGCATATATGCATACATACACTTAAACATATTAGTAATAATTGTGACTGTCCTGTGTGACTGCTCCTTGAATGATAATTTGTGACTGTAGAGACAGAAACAAAATTCCACATTCTCAAATAGCCAAAACTTTCTTGAATCATTTGGCTTATCAGTGGAGAGCAAATTTGTACAGCCAACCTTTTGGTTTGTCTAAATTATATTTCTCCGTCAAACAGCAACTTGTTGATGAAAACAGCGGTAACACACATGTTCAGATAGAACTGCTTCCAAGCTTCAACTGAATAACAGCCAGAAAAAAATTTCTTGTCATTTTCAGACACCAAATACCAGACACAGAAATGTGTGATTTTTGTTGCTTTTGGTTATCGGGGTGTGAAAGCACGCTGAGTGTCCTGCTACCGATAAAATTAAATGACTGTTCATACGGGAAATAAAATATGAAATAAAAAAAATAAAAATTCACTTAGAAATAAAAGAAAAACTATGATAATTAATCAGCAATGCAACATAGAGGCCAGCAATTAATATTACAAGAAATTGAGAGATGCTAGAACAAGTCACATGTTCCTTCCATGGACATGTAACAGCAAATGATGACAAAATTAAAGACAGAAGACAAAAGTGGAATGGAACAAAACCCAAGAGAAACTGATGACACAGAAGTCGGGTGGCAAACCTCTACACCCCAAGGAAGAGGAGCAACTACGTAAGCAAACAAGCAAAATATAAAATGAAAGAACAAAAAGGGTTATAATATGTGATGGAGATGATCTGGAACTCAACAAGTGATATGGCTGGCCGCCTTAACTTCTCAGTACATTTCCATCATTACACACATTTCTGTTTGGGTCGTGTGGTGCGAAAGTCAATAATCAACCTATGGAAGACGATTACACCCCCACACCCGGGCAGTGCCGTTAGGTTACTCTTTTCGATTTCCAACTGCCAAGGGATTCTTTGGCTCTTCTCCAAACTTCGACCCCGGCATTACGGCGGCCGAACAAATATCCTTACTGGGCTCAGTCCTTTTAAAAATATGCAAACTTCCGGCGAAGAACGAATCGCAGCAAAACTAGGATTACCTGACAATTTCAAGAGACGCAACACTGCACTTTTGAGCATTTCTGCAGATGATACTAATGACCATTGACAATTTAGAGACACGCAACATTACTGACGATAAAAGCAACATGGCAGGGAGACCAGGTGCGCCGACGCAGATTAGCGTCGTTGTTGTCCTCAAACTTTTCAGCATGCGGAAAACGTGGTTAAACTCACCACTGACAGTATCTCCTGCACCGCTACGTGGGGCGCGGATGGGGGGCTAAACTAGGTGCCTGGGACTCACGAGCAAATTAACTGGAGGAAGTTGCAGGAGATGCGGTAGCTGCTGCTCGTGAGTCCCAGCCATCTAGTTTAGCCCCCATCTATGCCGCACGTAGCGGCGCGGGGGATACGGTCGGCGGTGAGGCATAGTCATAGAAACAGGTCCGTAATTAACATATCGCCGAGACCCTGTTAGAGCATTTGTTTGGTTATACGGAGCCGATCCTAGTTTTGCCGCGATTCGTTCGGCGCCGGAAGTTCGCATATTTTTAATAAGACTGAGCCCCGCAAGGATATTTGTTTGGCCGCCATAATAATGCGGGGATAGAAGTTTGGGGCTCTCCTTGCAGATCCGGACGAGGGTTGGATGCGGGCTGGACGACTTAGTTCAGTTTAGTGGGAGTTCTCTCCCTTGTCCGCACTCGAAACAGTGAGTGGAAAAGTCACGAAACAAATGACATACTTACCTATCATCATACAGTTGCGTGTAAGGTTGCGTACGGTTGCGTAGTCATCATACGGTTGCTTGTAGGGTTGCGTAGTCATCATATGGTTGCCTGAAGGGTTGCGTAGTCATCATATGGTTGCCTGAAGGGTTGCGTAGTCCATCATGCTGTTGCGTGTAGGGCTGCGTAGGGGTGTTGGTTAGGGGTAAGGTTAGGGTTTAGGTTTAGATGTGACAATTTTGACGACGCAGGAATTCCCAATAATCGCGCACTGTCACATACACACCCAAACAGTCGACGGACTGTGGATGCTACAGACACGGACATGTCGCCACCGGTTGGGCACCAGCTGCGCGCTATTGCGGTCATATTTAACAGACTTCCAGTGGCGCCACTCCCACAAGCATCAGATTGTCGGCCAGTATTTGGAACTCCTACGTCAAAATTGTCACATCTAAGCCTACCCCTAACCCTGAACCCACACCGTACGCAGCCATACACGCAACCGTATGATGACTAGGCAACCCTTCGCGCAACCGTATGATGACTACGCAACCCTAACAGCAACTGTACGCAACCTTACACGCAACCGTATGATGATAGGTAAGTATGTCATTTGTTTCGTGACTTAACCACTCACTGTTTCGAGTGCGGCCAAGGGAGAGAACTCCCACTCAACTGAACTAAGTCGTCCAACCCTCGTCCGGATCTGCAAGGAGAGCCAAGTTTGGAGAAGAGACGATTCTTTACGTGTGCAACAATACACAGGCGTCCGATCTTATTACCCACAGAAAGTCTACGTGAACTAATCCCACAACCATGCCTCGAGACCACGCTGCCGCCCCCCCCCCCCCGCCGCTGATGAGTATGAGGCCAAGTACTAGTATCAGTAACTGAGTTAATTATTTTCACCTGGAGGAAACGGCCGAAAAGAAAATCCACTTGAACTTGGGAACAACACAACAGTCTTCTTCTTCTTCTTTATTACATTTACACTGAGATGAAGGATGTCGCCTTTATTAGGGTTTCCGTACAGAATGCGGATGGAAGGTTTATTATATATAAACCTAAGCGGTTTTTATGTCTGAAATATATTTTACACTGGAAACAGCCGACAAAGTTGACATAAGTTACAGTAGAAGTACAAGACCGTATAAGAGCTGAACCAACCGGAAGTTTACTTACAGAATGTCGTCTGTTCGTGTTCGGTAATCATTTGTTTCGTTGATTTCGAGTTCATTCCTATCACTCTTATCTATTTATGGAAAACGGAACTCGTGCTGGTGGAACATTTGTAAGCGGGTGGGAGCTATTGTGCAGGAGTATAAGAACTACGATTCCATTTAACTCTAATACCAACGGAAGACTGTTGATGGGGTTGCAAGGGCAGTTCTCGTGTGCACTAGTATCAGAGCTCCGGTGTTACTGAACTCTAGTGCTTAGAGAAGATTGTCGAGTGTGAGGGGATAAAGAAGGGTGGGGTGTGGGCTGGTGTTTACAAGTTCCAGAACTCTCTTGCAACTAAACTCTTGAAAAGAGAATGCTGGTGCGAACTGATCTCATAGTGGCCTGGTGAAGGGGTATATTAATACAGCAGTACACGCCAATTAACACTTTACATATTATATATATATATATACACACAAATATACATTTAGAAACACACACACATTTATAGACATACACAAACAAATATATACATTTAGAAACACACACACATTTATAGACATACACAAACAAATATATACATTTAGAAACACACGCAAACATAACATGGGAATCAAGGACTGGTGATAACTTGGTTCTGTCCTGGAGAATTGAGGACTGGTAATAACTTGGTTTCAGAAAAAGAGAATTGGTGACTGGTGATAACTTAGGTTTGTCAGGGAGAATTGAGGACTGGTAATAACTTGGTTTTGTCCTGGAGAATTGAGAACTGGTAATAACTTGGTTTTGTCCCGGAGAATTGAGAACTGGTAATAACTTGGTTTTGTCCTGGAGAATTGAGAACTGGTAATAACTTGGTTTTGTCCTGGAGAATTGAGAACTGGTAATAACTTAGTTTTGTCCTGGAGAATTTACTGGTAATAACTTAGTTTTGTCCTGGAGAATTTACTGGTAATAACTTGGTTTTGTCCTGGAGAATTGAGTACTGGTAATAACTTGGTTTTGTCCTGTAGAATGGAGGACTGGTAATAACTTGGTTTTGTCCTGGAGAATTGAGAACTGGTTATAACTTAGTTTTGTCCTGGAGAATTGAGAACTGGTAATAACTTAGTTTTGTCCTGGAGAATTTACTGGTAATAACTTAGTTTTGTCCTGGAGAATTTACTGGTAATAACTTGGTTTTGTCCTGGAGAATTGAGTACTGGTAATAACTTGGTTTTGTCCTGTAGAATGGAGGACTGGTGATAATGTGATTGGGCTATCCTCCGAATAACAGGCATATATTATGGCGGCCGCAAAAACACCCTAACAGAGCCTCAGTCAAGTGTCAATTGCGCAGTTCAGGGAACTTAATTTGTGAACTTCCCACCACCGCCGAGAGTATCCCTCACGCCGCTCATGCAGCGTGGATTGGGGCTAAACTAGATGGCTGGGACTCACGAGCAGCAGCTCCAGCCATCTAGTTTAGCCCCAGTCCACGCCGCGCGAGCGGCGTGGGGGATACTCTCGGCGGTGGTCACTGAAAGTGCGCAAATTAAGTCGCCGGAAGTGCGCAATTTACATGTGACTGAGGCCTTGTTTTTGGCTGCCATGATTTATGCCTGTTTTTCGGAGGATAGCCCATGATTGTGTCCCAGCAGGCAGGCAATATACTACCCCCCCCCCCCCCCCCCCCCCCCCCCCCCCCCCGCACCCAGCAAATTTGTACTCTGTGAAAGAAGTGAGTGCAAGACTTGGGAGTACTGACTGACTGCCATCATCATCATGGGCAGTTGCTGCAGTCTGGAGTACAGTGGAGCATTGTGGATCTGTCCTTTATCAGCATATGTGGGGGAAAAGTGAGGTTTCAGTCTTAGCACTGCCACATCAGCTCCCCATCCACCCCCTTCCCCCTTTAAAAAAAAACACAGAAACAAGATCTGAAAAGGAAAAATAAGAAAGCTATTTCCCACGAAAAGCAAAAACAAACAATAAAACAAACACGTTAAAAACCACACAAGAACCAGTGATTTAAAAAAACAACAAAATTTATTGCTAGGATAAACTCATTGCCTGGATGGTCTGTAGATTTCGAAAGCTGGCACAGCCTGGGCACGAGTGTAGAGTCTCATGGACGAACAGATCACAGTCAAGGCAGAAGTTCTGTTCACATTTTTCACACACGTACACCTAATGATGGAGTTCATACGTAAGTTAGCAACAAGACGTACACCTAATGATGGAGTTCATACATAAATTAGCAAGGAGTACACACTTCATTCACTGACAACATACTCAGTTGATACTCTTGGGGTGTAGTGGTTTGCCACAGAGATTGCCAGTGGTGTATTAGAAGTTTTTGTTCTGGCTTTGTTCCATTTCAGTCCCCTGTCTTCAGAGACTGTCGATGCTGTCTTCCCAGCAAACCCTGGCTCCCCCTGGAGGTCTGGTTTCCTGGTTCTTGGCCTCTCATGCTCCTGTGGTGGCAGATTCCCTCCCATTCTGCATACATGTCCAAACCATTGTAACTGTGACTAATCCACTCGGGTTTGTAAGGGTTGGGTTTCAAGATCTTGACCTATAGTCTGAGTGCAAACAACTTTGTCCCTTCTAGACACTTGGACCACCTTTCTCAGATATTTAATTTTTGTGGCATGAAGCTGGTTCCTCTGAGCTGTTGTCATTGCCCATGATTCACTCCCACAAATCAGGACTGACACTCAAGCTTCAATGACAACACAAGATCAACTCAGGTGAGATAAAGTATTCATTATGCTCATCACGTCACACATTAACCAAAACAAAAGCAACCTTGTGGCAACAAAGAATAAAAATATAAGCGCACCAACTGTCACTGTCCCATGCTCCACAGGATTCATTGCTGGAGGATGCAAATAATTTAACACATTCACAAATGATATCCTGCTACTAATGACTGGAATTATGAAGACTAGCAGACAGAGATGGCTGGGACCCACAGACAGAGATGGCTGGGACCCACAGACAGAGATGGCTGGGACCCACAGACAGAGATGGCTGGGACCCACAGACAGAGATGGTTGGGACCCACAGACAGAGATGGTTGGGACCCACAGACAGAGATGGTTGGGGCCCACAGACAGAGATGGTTGGGACCCACAGACAGAGATGGTTGGGACCCACAGACAGAGATGGTTGGGACCCACAGACAGAGATGGTTGGGACCCACAGACAGAGATGGTTGGGACCCACAGACAGAGATGGTTGGGACCCACAGACAGAGATGGTTGGGACCCACAGACAGAGATGGTTGGGACCCACAGACAGAGATGGTTGGGACCCACAGACAGAGATGGTTGGGACCCACAGACAGAGATGGTTGGAGCCCACAGACAGAGATGGTTGGGACCCACAGACAGAGATGGTTGGGACCCACAGACAGAGATGGTTGGGACCCACAGACAGAGATGGTTGGAGCCCACAGACAGAGATGGTTGGGACCCACAGACAGAGATGGTTGGAGCCCACAGACAGAGATGGTTGGGACCCACAGACAGAGATGGTTGGGACCCACAGACAGAGATGGTTGGGACCCACAGACAGAGATGGTTGGAGCCCACAGACAGAGATGGTTGGAGCCCACAGAGATGGTTGGAGCCCACAGACAGAGATGGTTGGAGCCCACAGACAGAGATGGTTGGGACCCACAGACAGAGATGGTTGGAGCCCACAGACAGAGATGGTTGGGACCCACAGACAGAGATGGTAGGGACCCACAGACAGAGATGGTTGGAGCCCACAGACAGAGATGGTTGGGACCCACAGACAGAGATGGTTGGAGCCCACAGACAGAGATGGTTGGGACCCACAGACAGAGATGGTTGGGACCCACAGACAGATGGTTGGAGCCCACAGACAGAGATGGTTGGAGCCCACAGACAGAGATGGTTGGAGCCCACAGACAGAGATGGTTGGAGCCCACAGACAGAGATGGTTGGGACCCACAGACAGAGATGGTTGGAGCCCACAGCCAGAGATGGTTGGAGCCCACAGACAGAGATGGTTGGAGCCCACAGACAGAGATGGTTGGGACCCACAGACAGAGATGGTTGAAACCCACAGACAGAGATGGTTGGAGCCCCCAGACAGAGATGGTTGGGACCCACAGACAGAGATGGTTGGAGCCCACAGACAGAGATGGTTGGGACCCACAGACAGAGATGGTTGGAGCCCACAGACAGAGATGGTTGGAGCCCACAGACAGAGATGGTTGGGAACCACAGACAGAGATGGTTGGAGCCCCCAGACAGAGATGGTTGGGACCCACAGACAGAGATGGTTGGAGCCCACAGACAGAGATGGTTGGGACCCACTAACAGAGATGGTTGGAGCCCACAGACAGAGATGGTTGGGACCCACAGACAGAGATGGTTGGAGCCCACAGACAGAGATGGTTGGAGCCCCCAGACAGAGATGGTTGGAGCCCCCAGACAGAGATGGTTGGGACCCACAGACAGAGATGGTTGAAGCCCACAGACAAAACTGCCAGATAAAAGAGCGGCAACAACTGCCTACAGAAAAGAGACGATCACGTGGCAGACCAAGAAGATGATGGAGAGAGAATATACCTGCAAACACTTCAATTCATTCACTAGAAATCCCGAGGTGCATTACGAGGCCTCATTGTAGACAAAAACCAGAACAGATCCACTGCCTACACAATATGCATGTCGTAGTAGTCAGCTAATTGGAGGTACTGCTTGAAGTCGCAGTGCATCTGCCTAAGAAGGAAGCAAGAGTCTTCATACTGTAAAAATGGGTGTGCACACTTTTGGAATAAGACTTAAGTCCGGAGGTGGAGAATCAACTAGAACTTTCCACTGGAGTTTACAGCCGTTGAACGCGAAGGAACAAAAAATATACACTGGAAAGAGAAGGCCAATCACAGATAGAGCGAGAGAGCGGAACGGAGGCATGGTGATATATGCAGCAATGAACCTCAAAAGTTCAAAATGCTGAAAAAGAAATAGTAGAAGTGGTATTAAATTTTAGCCCACTAGGACATCACACAAGCGATAAACACCTGATGACACAAAGTGTCACTATGTGGATAAGGATCACCCATGGAGAGGTCCCAGAAACCGCGTTCAGCCATTAGGCCATATTTATGACTGGGCTATATTGCAGCCCCTGGCAAGAGCCAGGGTGGGGCTTCAAAATAACGAAAAATTGCATCCCACGAGGGAATGACTAATTACAATAAGAAGAAATAGAAGAATAAAGAATTGTATCCTATTCTGAGCAACAGTTTAATAAAATAACAAACTAAAATTTCTGTCACAGTGATTAAAAAATAAAAAAACAACAACTTACATGTGGATCCAGTATTTCCACCTGACAGGCATAACAGCATCTGAGGTGAATCAATCATGTTTCCATTTTTTATATAAACAGATACATTTCATATAAGATATCAAAGGGCTTCTGCCGTGGGGTTGCAGCTAAATGCTCGCCTGCGGATCAGAAGGTTGTGGGTTCAAGTCCGCATAGTGCCAGATTTCTTTCAAGCATGATCTTGGCTCCCAGGTCGACCCAGCCTTAAATGGTTACCAGGTAAAATTCTGCGGAGTAAAGGTGGCAGGTATGGCACTGACCACATCAAGTATCGAGTGTTGATTGGTCTAAAAGTACTATATGCTCAATATGCCCACAGGCGTGGAAAAGGAGCCTTGACTTGACATAAGGGAAGTAACTGATACATTTTAGATATAGGCCAAATATACGAATGGGTACATTACTGTTCACAATCCATGTTTGTGGGATTAAATGGATGGGTACAATTCTATCCACAATCAATAATTGTTGGATCAAGTGAATGGGTACAATACTGCCCACAATCCACAGCTGTTAGTTTACATAGGCGAACACAATTCTGTCCACAATCCACACGTGGATGGATAAAACCCTGTCAACAATCTACAGCTGCTGGATCAAGTGGATGGTGTATCCAGCTAGTGAATGACACGGTCGACCAGCTGGTTGTTCTGGGGTACCAGCCCTGGACACAGCAGACCTAAAACAATGGGACGGCCAAAGATATAACAAGACAGCTACCTGTTTACACCTCAATGATGAAAGTGTCTCATGACCAGGTGCAACCGTGACCCATGACCAGGTGCAACCGTGACCCATGACCAGGTACAAACGTGACCCATAACCAGGTGCAACGGTGACCCTGACACATGACCAGGTGCAACCGTGACCTTGACCCGGTGCAACAGTGACCCTGACCCATGACCAGGTGCAACTGTGACCTTGACCCATGACCAGGTACAACGGTGACACTGACCTATGACCAGGTGCAATGGTGACCCTGACACATGACCAGGTACAACGGTGACACTGACCCATGACCAGGTACAACGGTGACCCTGACACATGACCAGGTACAACGGTGACCCTGACACATGACCAGGTACAATGGTGACACTGACCCATGACCAGGTACAATGGTTACCCTGACACATGACCAGGTGCAATGGTGACCCTCACACAGGACCAGGTGCAATGGTGACACTGACCTATGACCAGGTACAACGGTGATCCTGACCCATGACCAGGTGCAACGTTGACCCTGGCCCATGACCAGAGAACAGGCATCATCACACAATCAGGCAGCACCTCCACAACAAAAACTGCCCATCCCCATCCCTTTCTGTCTCTCACCCAGGCTGCAGAATGCTGATCATCCATCACCTAAATGTTACCTTCCCACTTAGAGCACTGCTTACCCATTGCTTGTTTACCGTCAACTTTGTCAGCATGGCCGTGCTGGGCTTGGTCTTAGAAAATTGAAATTCAGATCTGAGGTATTTGCCTGGCAACAATGAGGCTAGGAAGAGAGCTAGCTACATCAGCTTGTTATCTTATGGTCTAGTTACACATAAAGGTTAAACATCACATACACACCTACAGCACCTGGCAACAACAAGGCTAGGAAGAGAGCTAGCTACATCAGCTTGTTATCTTATGGTCTAGTTACACATAAAGGTTAAACATGACATACACATAAAGGTTAAACATGACATACACATAAAGGTTAAACATCACATATACATAAAGATTAAACATGACATACACATAAAGGTTAAACATGACATACACATAAAGATTAAACATGACATACACATAAAGGTTAAACATCACATACACATAAAGATTAAACATGACACACACATAAAGGTTAAACATCACATACACATAAAGATTAAACATGACATACACATAAAGGTTAAACATCACATACACATAAAGATTAAACATGACACACACACCTACAGCACCTGGCAGCGATGTACCTGTAGTTGCCATAAGTAAAATGCTCAAACAACAGCAATAAAACTTACAATGGACCATCTGTGACAACGTCTGAAGACAGAAACTCTTTATACGAGCCTGGTGGAAAGAGGTGATGATAAGATCTGGCTAGATGAGGCGCTGAGACCAGAGTCAGACCTGTAACAGCATACAAGGGTTAACTCTTTTACTTCCAAGTTAACACTCAATCTCTTACTGGTTCTTCCTCATGTCATGTGTTCTGCCTTTAGGCATGATGTTGCCCGACCACATGAGCCACAGAGGGCCCACTGGTCTGTCAAAATGTGCAGCTAGCCTCATACGCCCGACGGGACTTACTGTGTAAAAGGTTCTTTACTTACTTTCTTCCCCTTTACAATTTTGTTTGTGAGTTCATGTTTTCACATTACTGCACAGTAGTTACGTCCCCTACTTACCAGCTTTCAGGCTGAGCATGGCCACTGGGTTTACCATTGTGTCATCACTGACCCGTCAAAAAACAGTTGACCCATTCAATTTTCTTTCAAGTATGCTCTCCAAAGAGACAGTCCCCTGCTAATGAAATCTATCAAACTGGACAGTGGCCAGCCACCAATCAAAATACTGCACGTGCAGAGTGCCAGCCAAGAGTGCGGTGTTTAACTGTGATAATCTTACTTCAACATAGCTCACAAAACACAATGTATCCTGCCAGGAAATGGACATTAAGTAGCAGTCCATGACAAGAGAACAACCATCCAAAAGAAGAATCAAAGCCTTCTAACACTAACACAGCCATGTGCTGCCATCTTGAAAATGGAAAACACCATCTTTCCGTTCTGCCTAGGTTCTTGCTGTCCATTTTTCAATTGTATCTGTGCAGCTCATTTTGATTACCCCCCTACTGTCATTTTCAGAAAGATTGAACCAGATAAGAACAGACTTTGAGGTTCCATTGTGTCAGATTATGACCCAACAAGCCATAATTTGAAGCATATGAATAGAACAGTCATACAGTTTATGTAATCATCTACAACAATAGTCTCTATGTTCAGCACATGCCAGAACCCACAGGCAGTATATGTCAGGGTAGGGTCTTGTACTGACAATGGCTCTCTGCATTTCCACAAGGAGGATCCATCACAATGAGGCCAATGATGACTCACAACTGTGATGGCAACAACACTACAGAAGGGTCACAGCAATGCTCAAAGACAAGAGTGGATAATCACCACCCAAGCCTTGCACCCTGGTGATCTCTTGAACAACCACCCAAGCTCTGTACTGACTGCCTGGTGATCTCCTGAACAACCACCCAAGCTCTGTACTGACTGCCTGGGGATCTCCTGAACAACCACCCAAGCTCTGTACTGACTGCCTGGGGATCTCCTGAACAACCACCCAAGCTCTGTACTGACTGCCTGGTGATCTCTTGAACAACCACCCAAGCTCTGTACTGACTGCCTGGTGATCTCCTGAACAACCACCCAAGCTCTGTACTGACTGCCTGGTGATCTCTTGAACAACCACCCAAGCTCTGTACTGACTGCCTGGTGATCTCCTGAACAACCACCCAAGCTCTGTACTGACTGCCTGGTGATCTCCTGAACAACCACCCAAGCTCTGTACTGACTGCCTGGTGATCTCCTGAACAACCACCCAAGCTCTGTACTGACTGCCTGGTGATCTCCTGAACAACCACCCAAGCTCTGTACTGACTGCCTGGTGATCTCCTGAACAACCACCCAAGCTCTGTACTGACTGCCTGGTGATCTCTTGAACTACCACCCAAGCCCTGCACTGACTGCCTGTTGATCTCCTGAACTACCACCCAAGCCCTGCACTGACTGCCTGATGATCTCCTGAACTACCACCCAAGCTCTGTACTGACTGCCTGTTGATCTCCTGAACTACCACCCAAGCCCTGCACTGACTGCCTGATGATCTCCTGAACTACCACCCAAGCTCTGTACTGACTGCCTGGTGATCTCCTGAACAACCACCCAAGCCCTGCACTGACTGCCTGATGATCTCCTGAACAACCACCCAAGCCCTGCACTGACTGCCTGGTGATCTCCTGAACAACCACCCAAGCTCTGCACTGACTGCCTGGTGATCTCCTGAACAACCACCCAAGCCCTGTACTCTGACAACCACCCAAGCCCTGTACTCTGCCTGGTAATCTCCTTAGCTTAATGACACCAGTGTACAGGATATCTACCTGAGCATGTCCCCTGTTCGACAAGTTATACAACAGTAAACAACTCGAATCAACAGGATTTTAGAACAAACCTTTCTGAGAAATGCTGACCACCAACAACAAAAAATTAGTGAACACTAACTCTTTTCCCTAAATTTCAACCAAATTTTTTTTTACATTAGGCTAGAGTTACTACAGAAATCTGGTAATAACAGTGTTGCTTCCTCTGTACATATAGCCTCTAAATGAAAACATTTTATATTTTTTTTATAGTAGTTATTCTTGCTACAGGGCAACTGCTGTGAAACTTGCTAGCACTGGTAGAAGCAACCGGTGGAATACAATAACTTACCACAAGCTTTACACTCGATGGGCAACTCACAATACTTGCTCTTGCACTGGGGACAGAAGTAGCCGCTAGTGCTAAAGCCTTGTGACGATTTGCTGTCAAGATGGCTGTGAGACAACAAAATGGCTTCAATGAGTGATTACATCACTGCATGAACAAACTGGTATAAATGTTATGTAATTAATTAATTGGGTGCCATAACACACTAAAAAATTGGTTTAACTATCAGCAAAACTCTGTCTCCAGCTCTGGTTATACTCTCTCAAACTGCCGCCCCTTCATCTCTGGAGCTTATACACCTGCTTGTGTTACTGCCTCCTACTCACATGCCTTCCACTGTTCCCTCGGGTACATGCATTATAGAGATTACTTAGTCATTTCTTCTTCTGTTTGTTCTCTCTTCCAGCCCTGCCGGCAGTTTTCAGAGCAGACCTCGGCTGGTTCATTCAGCTTGGTTTCATAGACTGGGATATGGCTGAGGCTGGTATTGTTGCTGCCATAGACTGGGATATGGCGAGGCTGGTATTGTTGCTGCTATTGACTGGGATATGGCTGAGGCTGGTATTGCTGCCATAGACTGGGATATGGCTGAGGCTGGTATTGTTGCTGCCATAGGTTGGACTGACAACAGCCCCCGCCCCACCCCCCAAACCTAATGCTCAAACACATAACGATATAATCATGTTATTATGTTTAAACAATTGTAATAACATCAGTCAACTCACCACATACACATGGAGGGCTTTTCTCCTTTACCCTTCTCCCCGCCTAATGAATGGTGAGGAAAACCTGGCAAAGAACAAGACATTAAAGTCAGTGAAACTGTCTTTTAAATATATACTCTCAAAGCAAGTATATTTATTGTTTGCACAGATTCTCTGCATGCAACATTATGTCTGTACAATTATGGCCAACAAAGCCACAGTGAACGAAATAAATAGCACATTCAAGCGACTTGCTGATGGCATGGGTGAATGTGACGCTATGCATCTGCCACTCATCAACAGTATGTATCTATCTGTGGACATGTCTCTACACATCTTCCACTCATCAACAGTATGTACCTATCTGTGGACATGTCTCTACACATCTGCCACTCATCAACAGTATGTCCCTATCTGTGGACATGTCTCTACACATCTTCCACTCATCAACAGTATGTACCTATCTGTGGACATGTCTCTACACATCTTCCACTCATCAACAGTATGTACCTATCTGTGGACATGTCTCTACACATCTTCCACTCATCAACAGTATGTATCTATCTGTGGACATGTCTCTACACATCTTCCACTCATCAACAGTATGTACCTATCTGTGGACATGTCTCTACACATCTGCCACTCATCAACAGTATGTATCTATCTGTGGACATGTCTCTACACATCTTCCACTCATCAACAGTATGTACCTATCTGTGGACATGTCTCTACACATCTTCCACTCATCAACAGTATGTCCCTATCTGTGGACATGTCTCTACACATCTTCCACTCATCAACAGTATGTACCTATCTGTGGACATGTCTCTACACATCTTCCACTCATCAACAGTATGTACCTATCTGTGAACATGTCTCTACACATCTTCCACTCATCAACAGTATGTACCTATCTGTGGACATGTCTCTACACATCTTGTGATCATCAACAGTATGTCCCTATCTGTGGACATGTCTCTACACATCTGCCGATCATCAACAGTATGTACCTATCTGTGGACATGTCTCTACACATCTGCCGATCATCAACAGTATGTACCTATCTGTGGACATGTCTCTACACATCTGCCGATCATCAACAGTATGTACCTATCTGTGGACATGTCTCTACACATCTGCCGATCATCAACAGTATGTACCTATCTGTGGACATGTCTCTACACATCTGCCAATCAGCAACAGTATGTACCTATCTGTGGACATGTCTCTACACATCTTCCACTCATCAACAGTATGTACCTATCTGTGGACATGTCTCTACACATCTTCCACTCATCAACAGTATGTAACTATCTGTGGACATGTCTCTACACATCTTGCGATCATCAACAGTATGTACCTATCTGTGGACATGTCTCTACACATCTTCCACTCATCAACAGTATGTCCCTATCTGTGGACATGTCTCTACACATCTGCCGATCATCAACAGTATGTACCTATCTGTGGACATGTCTCTACACATCTTCCACTCATCAACAGTATGTACCTATCTGTGGACATGTCTCTACACATCTTCCACTCATCAACAGTATGTACCTATCTGTGGACATGTCTCTACACATCTTGCGATCATCAACAGTATGTACCTATCTGTGGACATGTCTCTACACATCTTGCGATCATCAACAGTATGTACCTATCTGTGGACATGTCTCTACACATCTTCCACTCATCAACAGTATGTACCTATCTGTGGACATGTCTCTACACATCTTCCACTCATCAACAGTATGTCCCTATCTGTGGACATGTCTCTACACATCTTCCACTCATCAACAGTATGTCCCTATCTGTGGACATGTCTCTACACATCTTCCACTCATCAACAGTATGTCCCTATCTGTGGACATGTCTCTACACATCTTGCGATCATCAACAGTATGTACCTATCTGTGGACATGTCTCTACACATCTTGCGATCATCAACAGTATGTACCTATCTGTGGACATGTCTCTACACATCTTGCGATCATCAACAGTATGTACCTATCTGTGGACATGTCTCTACACATCTTCCACTCATCAACAGTATGTACCTATCTGTGGACATGTCTCTACACATCTTCCACTCATCAACAGTATGTACCTATCTGTGAACATGTCTCTACACATCTTCCACTCATCAACAGTATGTACCTATCTGTGGACATGTCTCTACACATCTTCCACTCATCAACAGTATGTACCTATCTGTGGACATGTCTCTACACATCTTGCGATCATCAACAGTATGTACCTATCTGTGGACATGTCTCTACACATCTTGCGATCATCAACAGTATGTACCTATCTGTGGACATGTCTCTACACATCTTGCGATCATCAACAGTATGTACCTATCTGTGGACATGTCTCTACACATCTTCCACTCATCAACAGTATGTACCTATCTGTGGACATGTCTCTACACATCTTCCACTCATCAACAGTATGTACCTATCTGTGAACATGTCTCTACACATCTTCCACTCATCAACAGTATGTACCTATCTGTGGACATGTCTCTACACATCTTCCACTCATCAACAGTATGTACCTATCTGTGGACATGTCTCTACACATCTTCCACTCATCAACAGTATGTCCCTATCTGTGGACATGTCTCTACACATCTTCCACTCATCAACAGTATGTCCCTATCTGTGGACATGTCTCTACACATCTTCCACTCATCAACAGTATGTCCCTATCTGTGGACATGTCTCTACACATCTTGCGATCATCAACAGTATGTACCTATCTGTGGACATGTCTCTACACATCTGCCAATCATCAACAGTATGTACCTATCTGTGGACATGTCTCTACACATCTTCCACTCATCAACAGTATGTCCCTATCTGTGGACATGTCTCTACACATCTTCCACTCATCAACAGTATGTACCTATCTGTGGACATGTCTCTACACATCTTGCGATCATCAACAGTATGTACCTATCTGTGGACATGTCTCTACACATCTTGTGATCATCACCAGTATGTACCTATCTGTGGACATGTCTCTACACATCTTCCACTCATCAACAGTATGTACCTATCTGTGGACATGTCTCTACACATCTTCCACTCATCAACAGTATGTACCTATCTGTGGACATGTCTCTACACATCTTCCACTCATCAACAGTATGTACCTATCTGTGGACATGTCTCTACACATCTTGCGATCATCAACAGTATGTCCCTATCTGTGGACATGTCTCTACACATCTTCCACTCATCAACAGTATGTACCTATCTGTGGACATGTCTCTACACATCTTCCACTCATCAACAGTATGTACCTATCTGTGGACATGTCTCTACACATCTTCCACTCATCAACAGTATGTACCTATCTGTGGACATGTCTCTACACATCTTGCGATCATCAACAGTATGTACCTATCTGTGGACATGTCTCTAGACATCTGCCAATCATCAACAGTATGTACCTATCTGTGGACATGTCTCTACACATCTTGCGATCATCAACAGTATGTACCTATCTGTGGACATGTCTCTACACATCTTGCGATCATCAACAGTATGTACCTATCTGTGGACATGTCTCTACACATCTTGTGATCATCAACAGTATGTCCCTATCTGTGGACATGTCTCTACACATCTTGCGATCATCAACAGTATGTACCTATCTGTGGACATGTCTCTACACATATTGCGATCATAAACAGTATGTCCCTATCTGTGGACATGTCTCTACACATCTTGCGATCATCAACAGTATGTACCTATCTGTGGACATGTTTCTATACATCTTGCGATCATAAACAGTATGTACCTATCTGTGGACATGTCTCTAGACATTTTGCGATCATAAACAGTATGTACCTATCTGTTGACATGTCTCTACACATCTTCCACTCATCAACAGTATGTGCCTGTCTCTACACATCTTCCACTCATCAACAGTATGTACCTATCTGTGGACATGTCTCTACACATCTTCCACTCATCAACAGTATGTACCTATCTGTGGACATGTCTCTACACATCTTCCACTCATCAACAGTATGTACCTATCTGTGGACATGTCTCTACACATCTTGCGATCATCAACAGTATGTCCCTATCTGTGGACATGTCTCTACACATCTTCCACTCATCAACAGTATGTACCTATCTGTGGACATGTCTCTACACATCTTCCACTCATCAACAGTATGTACCTATCTGTGGACATGTCTCTACACATCTTCCACTCATCAACAGTATGTACCTATCTGTGGACATGTCTCTACACATCTTGCGATCATCAACAGTATGTACCTATCTGTGGACATGTCTCTAGACATCTGCCAATCATCAACAGTATGTACCTATCTGTGGACATGTCTCTACACATCTTGCGATCATCAACAGTATGTACCTATCTGTGGACATGTCTCTACACATCTTGCGATCATCAACAGTATGTACCTATCTGTGGACATGTCTCTACACATCTTGTGATCATCAACAGTATGTCCCTATCTGTGGACATGTCTCTACACATCTTGCGATCATCAACAGTATGTACCTATCTGTGGACATGTCTCTACACATATTGCGATCATAAACAGTATGTCCCTATCTGTGGACATGTCTCTACACATCTTGCGATCATCAACAGTATGTACCTATCTGTGGACATGTCTCTATACATCTTGCGATCATAAACAGTATGTACCTATCTGTGGACATGTCTCTAGACATTTTGCGATCATAAACAGTATGTACCTATCTGTGGACATGTCTCTACACATCTTCCACTCATCAACAGTATGTGCCTGTCTCTACACATCTTCCACTCATCAACAGTATGTACCTATCTGTGGACATGTCTCTACACATCTTCCACTCATCAACAGTATGTACCTATCTGTGGACATGTCTCTACACATCTTCCACTCATCAACAGTATGTACCTATCTGTGGACATGTCTCTACACATCTTGCGATCATCAACAGTATGTCCCTATCTGTGGACATGTCTCTACACATCTTCCACTCATCAACAGTATGTACCTATCTGTGGACATGTCTCTACACATCTTCCACTCATCAACAGTATGTACCTATCTGTGGACATGTCTCTACACATCTTCCACTCATCAACAGTATGTACCTATCTGTGGACATGTCTCTACACATCTTGCGATCATCAACAGTATGTACCTATCTGTGGACATGTCTCTAGACATCTGCCAATCATCAACAGTATGTACCTATCTGTGGACATGTCTCTACACATCTTGCGATCATCAACAGTATGTACCTATCTGTGGACATGTCTCTACACATCTTGCGATCATCAACAGTATGTACCTATCTGTGGACATGTCTCTACACATCTTGTGATCATCAACAGTATGTCCCTATCTGTGGACATGTCTCTACACATCTTGCGATCATCAACAGTATGTACCTATCTGTGGACATGTCTCTACACATATTGCGATCATAAACAGTATGTCCCTATCTGTGGACATGTCTCTACACATCTTGCGATCATCAACAGTATGTACCTATCTGTGGACATGTCTCTATACATCTTGCGATCATAAACAGTATGTACCTATCTGTGGACATGTCTCTAGACATTTTGCGATCATAAACAGTATGTACCTATCTGTGGACATGTCTCTACACATCTTCCACTCATCAACAGTATGTGCCTGTCTCTACACATCTTCCACTCATCAACAGTATGTACCTATCTGTGGACATGTCTCTACACATCTGCCAATCATCAACAGTATGTCCCTATCTAATCTATACAGACGGATCCGTTATACGCCAAAGAAGAAGCGCATGGGCATTTACAGCACGCTCAGCGGGCAGAACAGTCAAAGAAGCCAACGGCGCCTTCTCCATGACAACCAGCAGCATGACGATGGAGGTGATGGCAGTGACGCAAGCGTTTGCCTGGCTTGAAACACAAAAATACACCCGCATATGTATACTCAGTGATTCAATGAGTATGATCCGGAGGGTTCAGGCAGGTTCAGTGCGAAGACAATGGCTTGAATCAATTCAGAAGTCCACTGTGCGAGGAGTCACCTTTATTTTTGTTCCGGGACACGCAGGCGTCGATGGAAATGAAAGAGCTGACAGGCTGGCTGGATCCGCTATCACTACCGACGGTCGGCCTATGGATCATGCTGATATTATCAATGCCCTCAGAGAAATGGGAAGGATAGAGGACTTTGGTGGCAGTGAATCCACATCAATCGCCAGAATGGCAGACTTGTGAATTAAGATCGGCACAGCAAAAAATGAGACGCACACCGGACACGTCAGAAGATTTGTTAATCAACATAGAACTGGTACTATTAGCCATCGGACGTTGGGATTCATACTGAGGGGAGGATCTGAGCACCTATGGACATGTCCGGAGTGCAATGATGATAACCCAACTAACTAACTAACTAACTAACTAACTAACTAACTAACTAATGTCCCTATCTGTGGACATGTCTCTAGACATCTTGTGATCATCAACAGTATGTACCTATCTGTGGACATGTCTCTACACATCTTGTGATCATCAACAGTATGTACCTATCTGTGGACATGTCTCTACACATCTTGTGATCATCAACAGTATGTCCCTATCTGTGGACATGTCTCTACACATCTTCCACTCATCAACAGTATGTCCCTATCTCTACACATCTGCCAATCATCAACAGTATGTCCCTATCTGTCTCATGCCAATGACGTTCCAACAGCACGTGGTCAACATCAGACTGGCTGAGTTTACTTACACAAACATTTCCTAGCAGCCATCTCAACCTGGAGGCAACTGATCCCACTACCAAAGATCCCACTACCCAAGATCCCACGACCCAAGATCCCATGACCCAAGATCCCACGACCCAAGATCCCACTACCCAAGACATCAAGAGGATGTGTAAGACCATTAGAAACCAATGGTTCCAGTAAAAATGACCAAATCCTTGCTAGACTTTGAACCCAGTAGCTACTTACCCTAGGGCAGGCACTACAAACTTTAACTCCTGTCCTGATAGTTTCTCTTGTCTATTAAAAAAATTGTTTAAAAATGCCTACTCCTATTGCAATAACAGTCAAAATAGTCCCACCCATAAAACTAAGTGTTTAGAAACTGACACCAATTTGTCAGAAGTGCAAGGTGGATACAAGAAAAACAACAAAACTCATCAAAAGTGTTCTTACCCATTTTAATGAGAGACGATTCTGTACTATTCTGAAATGATAAAAATAAAAGGCAACATTTCAGGGATATCAAGATAAATTGTTGAGGTATTTCACACATTCTACACATACAACAGACTAAATATATGACAGACAAAACTTGACATGAATCAATGTTGTCTAAGCGCAAATCAGCAACAGGCAGAAATCAACAACAAATCTCAAACAGAAAACTATCACAGACCAACACTTGAGATCAGTTAGTAAAGAATGGCTGAAACAAATCAGAAGGCACACAAACAAAATGGCTGAAACAAATCAGAAGGCACACAAACAAAATGGCTGAAACAAATCAGAAGGCACACAAACAAAATGGCTGAAACAAATCAGAAGGCACACAAACAAAATGGCTGAAACAAATCAGAAGGCACACAAACAAAATGGCTGAAACAAATCAGAAGGCACACAAACAAAATGGCTGAAACAAATCAGAAGGCACACAAACAAAATGGCTGAAACAAATCAGAAGGCACACAAACAAAATGAGCTGAGAAACTGTCTCAAGCCACACAAGAAGACATACGCACACAAAGAAAATGAGCTGAGAAACTGTCTCAAGCCACACAAGAAGACATACGCACACAAACAGAATGAGCTGAGAAGCTGTCTCAAGCCACACAAGAAGACATACGCACACAAACAAAATGAGCTGAGAAACTGTCTCAAGCCACACAAGAAGACATACCGATGCTGGTGGAGGGGTCATGTGTTGGCCAAGCAGATCTTTGTAGTGCGGCTCATCAAGAATGACATTGTATATGCCTGAGGACATGAATTCATGTCCACATTCAACACAGACAACCATGACAGAAATCAATAAACAACAACAATATACCAACTAAAGTTGTACACACAACACATTTCTATCCATTATACCAACTAAAGCTGTACACACGACACATTCCTATCCATGATCCCAACTAAATTTGTACACACGACACATTCCTATCCATTATACCAACTAAAGTTGTACACACGACACATTCCTATCCATTATACCAACTAAAGTTGTACACACGACACATTCCTATCCATGATACCAACTAAAGTTGTACACACAACACATTCCTATCCATGATACCAACTAAATTTGTACACACGACACATTCCTATCCATTATACCAACTAAAGTTGTACACACGACACATTCCTATCCATTATACCAACTAAAGTTGTACACACGACACATTCCTATCCATGATACCAACTAAAGTTGCACCCACAACACATTCCTATCCATGATACCAACTAAAGTTGTACACACGACACATTCCTATCCATGATACCTACTAAAGTTGTACACACGACACATTCCTATCCATGATACCAACTAAAGTTGTACACACGACACATTCCTATCCATGATACCAACTAAAGTTGTACACACGACACATTCCTATCCATGATACCAACTAAAGTTGTACACACGACACATTCCTATCCATGATACCAACTAAAGTTGTACACACGACACATTCCTATCCATGATACCAACTAAAGTTGTACACACGACACATTCCTATCCATGATACCAACTAAAGTTGTACACACGACACATTCCTATCCATGATACCAACTAAAGTTGTACACACGACACATTCCTATCCATGATACCAACTAAAGTTGTACACACGACACATTCCTATCCATGATACCAACTAAAGTTGTACACACGACACATTCCTATCCATGATACCAACTAAAGTTGTACACACGACACATTCCTATCATTAGTTCTGGGATATTGCATAGTGAACATGTCCACGGGATTATGCTCTTCTCCTAAACAATTCAGCCTGTTTCCAGGGACTGACAACACCCTGCTGTAGATCCATGAGTCTGTCTAATCATGTGCTTGGTTTCCTACTAAATTCTGGCAATCCTACGATGTGCAAACAAAAGGGACACGTTGTTAATCTAAGACCTCCGTGGTAAAAAACTGAAATATACCAGGCAATAACTAGTGCAATACTTTGTGTTCCTGATATAATCACATTTGGATAACGTTGTCTAACCCAATAAAAGTTGAAATAAAAAATATGTGTCAATGCTGCCTTTATTTACTCCTTTTCCCGAGCAGGCAGGAGGCTTTGAACCTACTGGCTGCATGGCTAGTGCTCTCATCACGGACTGTGAACGTTAGGGTTTTATTACTGCCCGCCATAGAAAAAATCTACAACCTGAATGAGGATTCAAACCTAGGTCTACCATATGAGAGCCCAGCACTGTTAACTGTTCAGCCAGCCTCTTCTTAATAAAAATATCAACTGCACTTTAAACTGAATATTACCTCCCGTCAGTTGACAGAGCCGCTTGCAGACCCGCACCTCGGCCGAGAGGCCTATGACACTGCATCTGATGTTGGCCTCCGCCATGGCCTAGACACAGACACACACACATATGTGGGTCAATCAGCAGTAAACCAGCACAAGCTCACAAACATACAATCAGACATACATCAATCTGAGACTGAGTGAGAAATGATACTATCAGACAGATTGGGGGGAACAATATCGTGTGTCAAATACATTGAGTAGCCAACACACAAACATAAAATCATATATATCAATTTGAGACTGAGTGAGAAATGATACTATCAGACAGATTGGGGGAAACAATATCGTGTGTCAAATACATTAAGTAGCCAACACACAAACATAAAATCATACACATCAGTCCGAGACTGAGTGAGAAATGATACTATCAGACAGATTGGGGGAACAATATCGTGTGTCAAAAACATTGAGAAGCACACACACAAACATAAAATCATCAATACTTCTAGAACGATACGCCCTAAGACAAACTGCCCATGAAACAACCTGAGACTGAGTGAGAAATGATACCATCTGACAGAGTGGAGGAACAACATTTTGTGTGAATACACCAAGAAGCAGAAGATAAAATGGCTCAGACACGTACCTTGTTGGAACGCAGTAACACCATTACCAACACACCTGAGAAGGAAGACATGAGAACAAAAAGACCATGATTAAGAAGATGGACTGATTGAATACGTAGAACATTAACTGGGACAGCTGCACGACTATTTCTTACTTGTCATTAGTATCTGTTGTTTTATATTGTTTTTGCCACAGTTTTCAAAACTAAAATCCTAGACACACATATCATGTTTTGATATATCCATCAGTAAATATTTTTAGTCAACTCATTTAAAATATTTTCTAAATATTCTTTCATCATCATCACCTGCTATTTACAGGTAACACTGGGCTCAGCACCAACCTTTTATTTCCATTCTATAGCATATAATTTCTTCCCGAAATTGTGTACAGAATCTAGTCCAGTTCCCCCAGCCTCTCTCATCAATGTGTACAGAATCTAGTCCAGTTCCTAAAGCCACTCTCATCAATGTGTACAGAATCTAGTCCAGTTCCTAAAGCCACTCTCATCAATGTGTACAGAATCTAGTCCAGTTCCTAAAGCCACTCTCATCAATGTGTACAGAATCTAGTCCAGTTCCCCCAGCCTCTCTCATCAATGTGTACAGAATCTAGTCAAGTTCCTCCAGCCTCTCTCATCAATGTGTACAGAATCTAGTCCAGTTCCTAAAGCCACTCTCATCAATGTGTACAGAATCTAGTCCAGTTCCTAAAGCCACTCTCATCAATGTGTACAGAATCTAGTCCAGTTCCTAAAGCCACTCTCATCAATGTGTACAGAATCTAGTCCAGTTCCCCCAGCCTCTCTCATCAATGTGTACAGAATCTAGTCAAGTTCCTCCAGCCTCTCTCATCAATGTGTACAGAATCTAGTCCAGTTCCCTCAGCCTCTCTCATCAATGTGTACAGAATCTAGTCCAGTTCCTAAAGCCACTCTCATCAATGTGTACAGAATCTAGTCCAGTTCCTTTAGCCTCTCTCATCAATGTGTACAGAATCTAGTCAAGTTCCTCCAGCCTCTCTCATCAATGTGTACAGAATCTAGTCCAGTTCCTTTAGCCTCTCACATCAATGTGTACAGAATCTAGTCAAGTTCCTCCAGCCTCTCTCATCAATGTGTACAGAATCTAGTCAAGTTCCTCCAGCCTCTCTCATCAATGTGTACAGAATCTAGTCCAGTTCCTAAAGCCTCTCTCATCAATGTGTACAGAATCTAGTCCAGTTCCCCCAGCCTCTCTCATCAATGTGTACAGAATCTAGTCCAGTTCCTTTAGCCTCTCTCATCAATGTGTACAGAATCTAGTCCAGTTCCTAAAGCCACTCTCATCAATGCGTACAGAATCTAGTCCAGTTCCCTCAGCCTCTCTCATCAATGTGTACAGAATCTAGTCCAGTTCCTAAAGCCACTCTCATCAATGTGTACAGGATCTAGTCCAGTTCCTCTGGTCTCTCTCATCAATGTGTACATAATCTAGTCCAGTTCCTCCGGCCTCTCTCATCAATGTGTACAGAATCTAGTCCAGTTCCTCTGGTCTCTCTCATCAATGTGTACAGAATCTAGTAGAGTTCCTCCAGCCTTTCTCATCAATGTGTACAGAATCTAGCCCAGTTCCTCCGGCCTCTCTAATTAATGTGTACATAATCTAGTCCAGTTCCTCCAGCCTCTCTCATCAATGTGTACAGAATCTAGTCCAGTTCCTCCGGTCTCTATCATCAATGTGTACAGAATCTAGTCCAGTTCCTCTGATCTCTCTCATCAATGTGTACAGAATCTAGTCCAGTTCCCCCAGCCTCTCTCATCAATGTGTACAGAATCTAGTCCAGTTCCTAAAGCCACTCTCATCAATGTGTACAGGATCTAGTCCAGTTCCTCTGGTCTCTCTCATCAATGTGTACATAATCTAGTCCAGTTCCTCCGGCCTCTCTCATCAATGTGTACAGAATCTAGTCCAGTTCCTCTGGTCTCTCTCATCAATGTGTACAGAATCTAGTAGAGTTCCTCCAGCCTTTCTCATCAATGTGTACAGAATCTAGCCCAGTTCCTCCGGCCTCTCTAATTAATGTGTACATAATCTAGTCCAGTTCCTCCAGCCTCTCTCATCAATGTGTACAGAATCTAGTCCAGTTCCTCCGGTCTCTATCATCAATGTGTACAGAATCTAGTCCAGTTCCTCTGATCTCTCTCATCAATGTGTACAGAATCTAGTCCAGTTCCCCCAGCCTCTCTCATCAATGTGTACAGAATCTAGTCCAGTTCCCCCAGCCTCTCTCATCAATGTGTACAGAATCTAGTCCAGTTCCTAAAGCCACTCTCATCAATGTGTACAGAATCTAGTCCAGTTCCCCCAGCCTCTCTCATCAATGTGTACAGAATCTAGTCAAGTTCCTTCAGCCTCTCTCATCAATGTGTACAGAATCTAGTCCAGTTCCCTCAGCCTCTCTCATCAATGTGTACAGAATCTAGTCCAGTTCCTAAAGCCACTCTCATCAATGTGTACAGAATCTAGTCCAGTTCCTTTAGCCTCTCTCATCAATGTGTACAGAATCTAGTCAAGTTCCTCCAGCCTCTCTCATCAATGTGTACAGAATCTAGTCCAGTTCCTTTAGCCTCTCACATCAATGTGTACAGAATCTAGTCAAGTTCCTCCAGCCTCTCTCATCAATGTGTACAGAATCTAGTCAAGTTCCTCCAGCCTCTCTCATCAATGTGTACAGAATCTAGTCCAGTTCCTAAAGCCTCTCTCATCAATGTGTACAGAATCTAGTCCAGTTCCCCCAGCCTCTCTCATCAATGTGTACAGAATCTAGTCCAGTTCCTTTAGCCTCTCTCATCAATGTGTACAGAATCTAGTCCAGTTCCTAAAGCCACTCTCATCAATGTGTACAGGATCTAGTCCAGTTCCTCTGGTCTCTCTCATCAATGTGTACAGAATCTAGTCAAGTTCCTTCAGCCTCTCTCATCAATGTGTACAGAATCTAGTCCAGTTCCCTCAGCCTCTCTCATCAATGTGTACAGAATCTAGTCCAGTTCCTAAAGCCACTCTCATCAATGTGTACAGAATCTAGTCCAGTTCCTTTAGCCTCTCTCATCAATGTGTACAGAATCTAGTCAAGTTCCTCCAGCCTCTCTCATCAATGTGTACAGAATCTAGTCCAGTTCCTTTAGCCTCTCACATCAATGTGTACAGAATCTAGTCAAGTTCCTCCAGCCTCTCTTATCAATGTGTACAGAATCTAGTCAAGTTCCTCCAGCCTCTCTCATCAATGTGTACAGAATCTAGTCCAGTTCCTAAAGCCTCTCTCATCAATGTGTACAGAATCTAGTCCAGTTCCCCCAGCCTCTCTCATCAATGTGTACAGAATCTAGTCCAGTTCCTTTAGCCTCTCTCATCAATGTGTACAGAATCTAGTCCAGTTCCTAAAGCCACTCTCATCAATGTGTACAGGATCTAGTCCAGTTCCTCTGGTCTCTCTCATCAATGTGTACATAATCTAGTCCAGTTCCTCCGGCCTCTCTCATCAATGTGTACAGAATCTAGTCCAGTTCCTCTGGTCTCTCTCATCAATGTGTACAGAATCTAGTAGAGTTCCTCCAGCCTTTCTCATCAATGTGTACAGAATCTAGCCCAGTTCCTCCGGCCTCTCTAATTAATGTGTACATAATCTAGTCCAGTTCCTCCAGCCTCTCTCATCAATGTGTACAGAATCTAGTCCAGTTCCTCCGGTCTCTCTCATCAATGTGTACAGAATTTAGTCCAGTTCCTCTGGTCTCTCTCATCAATGTGTACAGAACCTAGTCCAGCTCCTCCGGCCTCTCTCATCAATGTGTACAGAATCTAGTCCAGTTCCTCTGGTCTCTCTCATCAATGTGTACAGAATCTAGTAGAGTTCCTCCAGCCTTTCTCATCAATGTGTACAGAATCTAGCCCAGTTCCTCCGGCCTCTCTCATTAATGTGTACATAATCTAGTCCAGTTCCTCCAGCCTCTCTCATCAATGTGTACAGAATCTAGTCCAGTTCCTCTGGTCTCTATCATCAATGTGTACAGAATCTAGTCCAGTTCCTCTGGTCTCTCTCATCAATGTGTACAGAATCTAGTCCAGTTCCTTTAGCCTCTCACATCAATGTGTACAGAATCTAGTCAAGTTCCTCCAGCCTCTCTCATCAATGTGTACAGAATCTAGTCAAGTTCCTCCAGCCTCTCTCATCAATGTGTACAGAATCTAGTCCAGTTCCTAAAGCCTCTCTCATCAATGTGTACAGAATCTAGTCCAGTTCCCCCAGCCTCTCTCATCAATGTGTACAGAATCTAGTCCAGTTCCTTTAGCCTCTCTCATCAATGTGTACAGAATCTAGTCCAGTTCCTAAAGCCACTCTCATCAATGCGTACAGAATCTAGTCCAGTTCCCTCAGCCTCTCTCATCAATGTGTACAGAATCTAGTCCAGTTCCTAAAGCCACTCTCATCAATGTGTACAGGATCTAGTCCAGTTTCCTCTGGTCTCTCTCATCAATGTGTACATAATCTAGTCCAGTTCCTCCGGCCTCTCTCATCAATGTGTACAGAATCTAGTCCAGTTCCTCTGGTCTCTCTCATCAATGTGTACAGAATCTAGTAGAGTTCCTCCAGCCTTTCTCATCAATGTGTACAGAATCTAGCCCAGTTCCTCCGGCCTCTCTAATTAATGTGTACATAATCTAGTCCAGTTCCTCCAGCCTCTCTCATCAATGTGTACAGAATCTAGTCCAGTTCCTCCGGTCTCTATCATCAATGTGTACAGAATCTAGTCCAGTTCCTCTGATCTCTCTCATCAATGTGTACAGAATCTAGTCCAGTTCCTCCAGCCTCTCTCATCAATGTGTACAGAATTTAGTCCAGTTCCTCTGGTCTCTCTCATCAATGTGTACAGAACCTAGTCCAGCTCCTCCGGCCTCTCTCATCAATGTGTACAGAATCTAGTCCAGTTCCTCTGGTCTCTCTCATCAATGTGTACAGAATCTAGTAGAGTTCCTCCAGCCTTTCTCATCAATGTGTACAGAATCTAGCCCAGTTCCTCCGGCCTCTCTCATTAATGTGTACATAATCTAGTCCAGTTCCTCCAGCCTCTCTCATCAATGTGTACAGAATCTAGTCCAGTTCCTCTGGTCTCTATCATCAATGTGTACAGAATCTAGTCCAGTTCCTCTGATCTCTCTCATCAATGTGTACAGAATCTAGTCCAGTTCCTCCAGCCTCTCTCATCAATGTGTACAGAATTTAGTCCAGTTCCTCTGGTCTCTCTCATCAATGTGTACAGAATCTAGTCCAGTTCCTCTGGTCTCTCTCATCAATGTGTACAGAATCTAGTCCAGCTCCTCCGTCCTCTCTCATCAATGTGTACAGAATCTAGTCCAGTTCCTCCGGCCTCTCTCATCAATGAGTACAGAATCTAGTCCAGTTCCTCCAGCCCCTCTCATCAATGTCTAACACAGTTTCTCCTGGAAGTTCTCTCTTCAATGTATTTGTTTCCTATTTCAGTGTCTGTTTTATGACACTGTATCCACTTTGTTTCAGAATGTCAAATATATCACAAACTTCTGTTTGTTACAAACTGTTAACACCAGCAGCTGTTTTGACACCTCTCTGATTTATACATCTTTTTTCTTAGTCTTATTAAAATTCAACAATTTTCTGTGACCTCTGTGAATGCAGTTAACTTGTGTTTCATGAGATGACTCTTACTTACATCTGACAGAACACTCTGTAGGATAATTTATAATATTTTTTCATACACATCCCTGCACAAACACACACAAATATCATTGCACAAACACCACAAGTAGACCACGGTGCTCACCTGGATCGTCTCTCGCACATCTCCAGGGTCACAGGTGGTCAAACTTCCCATGATCACTAACAGCTCTCGACTGGCGTGACTCGGCATGTTTCTTCAACAATCAATAATATAAAACAAGTGAATATTTGTGTCCGAGACTTACTGATAGTGAGAAGCTAGCGCATTATAAAATCTTAAAAAAAAACAATTTTATTTCTTCAAGAGGAAGAATTAAGTTTGCAGTATGACAAGAGTTGAGCTGTTGTATGATAAAAGCTAAGTATGCTGTGTGTGACAGTTTAGTCTGTAGTACATTTGGAGTTGAGTCTGCAGTGTGCTAAAAGTTAAGTTCCCATCAAGGTCAGCATAGTTGTACAGGCCAAATGGCTACCTTTATTTTCCAGGATATTTACCGGCACCCATGTGAGGCTGGGTCAACATGGGAGCCAGAGTTCAATAATATATACCCACCCCAGTGTGGGTTGAAACCTAAAGTCTTCTGGTTGACAGGCGAGCATCTTGTCACTGCACCACTGTGGCTTCCAACAGTCTTAACTGTTCACAGATATTTTGTGTTATATGAAGCAGTGATAGTTAAAAGACTAAACATCTTTGTGTGTTCATGGTGGGAGTTACATCCAGGCAATTGAGGCTGTCAATATTGCTATCACCTGAGAGGTTAGCCACACACTTACCTGAGAGATTTTAGCCACAGAAAGATGCCCTTACCTGAGAGTTTAGCCACACAAAGATGCCCTTACCAGAGAGTTTAGCCACATAAAGATGCCCTTACCTAAAAGTTTAGCCACACAAAGATGCTCTTACCTGAAAGTTTAGCCACATAAAGATGCCCTTACCTGAGAGTTTAGCCACATAAAGATGCTCTTACCTGAGAGTTTAGCCACATAAAGATACCCTTACCTGAAAGTTAAATGTTCCCCAGACCGCAGAGCATGTACTCCAGGACTGCAGCGATTTTGACACATTAAGGCAAACCTTTTGGCCAGAAAGAACAACAGTGGAACGTAAACTCTATGGACCACTGAATGAACTAACAACGACAGTGAAATTTATACAAGAGACAAAACTGCTGATATAGATAACTTATTTCAGGCGAACGAAAGAAGAAGACCTGAAAGTTTAGCCATACAAAGATACCCTTACCTGAAAGTTTAGCCACATAAAGATACCCCTACCTGAAAGTTTAGCCACACAAAGATGCTCTTACCTGAAAGTTTAGCCACACAAAGATGCCCTTACCTGAGAGTTTAGCCACACAAAGATGCCCTTACCTGAGAGTTTAGCCACACAAAGATGCCCTTACCTGAGAGTTTAGCCACACAAAGGTGCCCTTACCTGAGCATTTAGCCACACAAAGATGCCCTTACCTGAGAATTTAGCCACACAAAGATGCTCTTACCTAAAAGTTTAGCCACACAAAGGTGCCCTTACCTGAGAGTTTAGCCACACAAAGATGCCCTTACCTGAGTTTAGCCACACAAAGGTGCCCTTACCTGAGCATTTAGCCACACAAAGATGCCCTTACCTGACAGTTTAGCCACACAAAGATGCTCTTACCTAAAAGTTTAGCCACACAAAGGTGCCCTTACCTGAGCATTTAGCCACACAAAGATGCCCTTACCTGAGAGTTTAGCCACACAAAGATGCTCTTACCTAAAAGTTTAGCCACACAAAGGTGCCCTTACCTGAGTATTTAGCCACACAAAGATGCCCTTACCTGAAAGTTTAACCACACAAAGGTGCCCTTACCTGAGCATTTAGCCACACAAAGATGCCCTTACCTGAGAGTTTAGCCACACAAAGATGCTCTTACCTAAAAGTTTAGCCACACAAAGGTGCCCTTACCTGAGCATTTAGCCACACAAAGATGCCCTTACCTGAGAGTTTAGCCACACAAAGATGCTCTTACCTAAAAGTTTAGCCACACAAAGGTGCCCTTACCTGAGCATTTAGCCACACAAAGATGCTCTTACCTGAAAGTTTAGCCACACAAAGATGCTCTTACCTGAGAGTTTAGCCACACAAAGATGCCCTTACCTGAGAGTTTAGCCACACAAAGACGCCCTTACCTGAGAGTTTAGCCACACAAAGATGCTCTTACCTGACAGGTATAGCCACACAAAGATGCTCTTACCTGAGAGCAGACAGGGCCAGTTCTAGAGAGTTCTGTAGTGAGAATTCTCCCTGGCAAGCTTGGGTTGCCAAATCTTGAAGGGCTTTGATATGTCGTCTTGGATTACCTGGACAGAATGCAGGAAAGCAAAAACCATGTTTGCGTAGCACAGCACATGTTTTATGTATGACATCAGATTTATATGTTTAAACGAGAAAAGATAGTGAGAGATAGGGGAGAAAAGAGAAAGGTGCAGAAGAAAAAAAAAAAGTGGAAAGGGAGGAGGAGGAGAGGGAAAACGGAGAGAGACGAAGAAAAGGTATAGAGAGGAAGCAAAACAGAAAAAAAAAGTATATGCATGCTCTATAGGCTGAGAGAGAGACAAATCCAAAAAGAAAAATATACAACCAAAAGAAAAGTATATCAAAAATATCAAAAGTATAAACACAGAGAGAAAGAGAGACGGACAGAGAGAGAAAGGAGAGATTAGTTATATATGTGATAATATTCAAGGCAAGAGAGGCAAAGGAAGCCAGAGAAAACAGTTGAATAACTAGACAAGAAGTCATGATGAAGGCAACACCAGCTTCAATAAAACATTTGCTGACAGACAGCAACTGAGGGTCATGATCACAACAGTCTTCTACAGATCAGGAGAAAGATGAAGTGGAGGAGCAGAAGAAGACAAGGAAGAGGAAGAGCTATAAAAAGCTAAGAAGTAGAAGGAGAGACAAACATCATTAAAGACCACATAAAGTAAACAACGAGATCGTTCTCACCTCCAAGTTCTGTAATTTTATCAGCTTTTTTGTTGCGAGACATCAGAAAGCCAATCTGGCTTATGGGGTTCTGGTCAAAGTACTCATCCACAAACATTTCCAGCAGCTGGCAAATAAGGTAGAGATCAGAGGTCATTCTATAGCAGATACCAGTGCCAAGATAATCTCATTGTAAAATATGCCAAAAGGGTTGAAGATCAAGAAGATGGAGTGCGTGAAGTTGTTAGGGCCATCCACATTCTAGATTATGAGATGGCCATTGCACATTCTTTTCTTCACAGCCTTTCCTTCCCGACACAACTGCCTGGAAACTGTTGCCATGATCTAGAAACATCAAGTGGCACAGGATCTCTGGGCATGCAGATCCTCCAGAGAGTGTCAGCACACAAAAGCCACTGGTACATAGCATTTGGTAGTTATCCACTCTCAAACTATAGTTATTAAGGTTTGGAATCCAAGTTGAATGCAAAACAAATGTCTCAGGAAACTGTTGAACATGAAATGGGATGAATTCTAGAACGGTGAAGGAATAAGAGAAATATATGGACAGCCGCTGGTAAATTATCAAACAAAGAAGATGGAGAAGACATCCGGAGAAGTGAACACAAAATCACCATACAGGCAGCACTGAAACAGAAAAATGAATTGAGAAAACAAGTACACCCAAGAGAAGCAGAAAATGAATGACGATGAGAGAGGCTAAAATGCTAGAACTGATTCAACCAATGATATCGAAAGAACTGCAGATGACAGAGTGGAATGGAGAACCAGGCTGCCAGTCCTATGGGAAATTTAAATGGCACAACAAGGTGGTGATGATGAAACCAGGGGTCACCAAATCCTAGGCAGACACCAGTCTGTGCTCTAGTAATTACCTACAGATGGAGACAGCTGACATAATCCTGACCACAGCCTCAAGTACTCGCTTGCGTTAAGAAGAACAGCTCACAATTACAACAAGAGATTCCAGGACCACAACCTCAAGTACTCGCTTGCGTTAAGAAGAACAGCTCACAATTACAACAAGAGATTTCAGGACCACAGCCTCAAGTGATTGTTTGCGTTAAGAAGAACAGCTCACAATTACAACAAGAGATTCCAGGACCACAACCTCAAGTAATCGCTTGCGTTAAGAAGAACAGCTCACAATTACAACAAGAGATTTCAGGACCACAGCCTCAAGTACTCGCTTGCGTTAAGAAGAACAGCTCACAATTACAACAAGAGATTCCAGGACCACTGTTGCCACTGCATGTTTTATCTCAGACACTCAGCTTTTCACCTGTCGGTGACTATTTTCTTATCGACCCCTTTATTATTTTCCCGATTTCCCCCCTTAGAGAGGTCATCTACATTTACTGTATGTTTTGTATACCTCCTGCTCAGTTTCCTACAACAGACAGTGAAGTTCATACTAGAGATAGACTTGCAGATATAGATAATTTATTTCCAGCAAATGAAAGAAGAAGAAAAAGTTTCCTAGGTTATGTGTGTAAACCTTTAAGACCATACTTCAGAGCTCCTCCTCCAACTCAAATGAACTCAGCTGCTGTTTTTACACTGATTTATATATACTGATAGCTCTCATGCCAGGAAAGCGCAAAAAGTCAACTTCCTTTTTCAAACCGTGTGAAGGGACAACTTATCCATGGTTGGATGGTTTTTGTGGCTATGGTTTTTACAGGATGAGGTAGCCAACCTCAAGCCCAACCCTACCCTTAGTCGCCTCTTACGACATGCCTGGTAGGGTGCAGTGTCACTATTCTTTGCTTCCGGGGAAAAGGGGGGGGGGGGGGGGGGGGGGGGGCGTGACACACTAGGGAATTTGTGGAGGTCAAAAGAAATTAAAAGAAATACTAAACTAAAATTTTTTAATTCTAATGTCAAATCAGTACTATCGTATACACAAGCTTGGACAAGAAGAAGAAGACTAGACAGATAATGTTACACACATACACCAGCTGGACAAGAAGAAGAAGACTAGACAGATAATGTTACACACATACACCAGCTGGACAAGAAGAAGAAGACTAGACAGATAATGTTACACACATACACCAGCTGGACAACAAGAAGAAGACTAGACAGATTTGTTTACTCACACACACAAGCTTGGACAACAAGAAGAAGACTAGACAGACAAGGTTACCCACACACACCAGCTTGATCAAGAAGAAGAAGACTAGACAGACAAGGTAACCCACACACACCAGCTTGAACAAGAAGAAGAAGACTAGACAGACAAGGTAACCCACACACACCAGCTTGGACAACAAGAAGAAGACTAGACAGATTTGTTTTCCCCACACACACCAGCTTGAACAAGAAGAAGAAGACTAGACAGACAAGGTTACCCACACACACAATCTTGAACAACAAGAAGAAGACTAGACAGATTTGGTTACCCACACACACCAGCTTGGACAACAAGAAGAAGACTAGAAAGATTTGTTTACCCACACACACCAGCTTGAACAAGAAGAAGAAGACTAGACAGATTTGTTTACCCACACACACCAGCTTGGACAACAAGAAGAAGACTAGACGTTTGGTTACCAACACACACAGGCTTGGACAACAAGAAGAAGACTAGACGTTTGGTTACCCACACACACCAGCTTGGACAAGAAGAAGAAGACTAGACAGATTTGGTTACCCACACACACAAGCTTGGACAACAAGAAGAAGACTAGACAGATTTGTTTACCCACACACACCAGCTTGGACAACAAGAAGAAGACTAGACAGATTTGGTTACCCACACACACCAGCTTGGACAACAAGAAGAAGACTAGACAGATTTGGTTACCCACACACACCAGCTTGGACAACAAGAAGAAGACTAGACAGATTTGTTTACCCACACACACAGGCTTGGACAACAAGAAGAAGACTAGACAGACAAGGTAACCCACACACACCAGCTTGAACAACAAGAAGAAGACTAGACAGATTTGGTTACCCACACACACAAGCTTGGACAACAAGAAGAAGACTAGACAGATTTGTTTACCCACACACACCAGCTTGGACAACAAGAAGAAGACTAGACAGATTTGGTTACCCACACACACCAGCTTGGACAACAAGAAGAAGACTAGACAGATTTGGTTACCCACACACACACAGGCTTGAACAACAAGAAGAAGACTAGACAGACAAGGTTACCCACACACACCAACTTGATCAAGAAGAAGAAGACTAGACAGACAAGGTAACCCACACACACCAGCTTGGACAACAAGAAGAAGACTAGACAGATTTGGCTACCCACACACACCAGCTTGGACAACAAGAAGAAGACTAGACAGATTTGGTTACACACATACACCAGCTTGGACAACAAGAATAAGACTAGACAGATTTGGTTACCCACACACACCAGCTTGGACAACAAGAATAAGACTAGACAGATTTGGTTACCCACACACACCAGCTTGGACAACAAGAAGAAGACTAGACGACTGGTACCTTAAGAGTGGCCACCAGCCTCGTGGGCTTGAGATCTTGGTCTGACATGGCTGAAGACGCATCTATCACTATCAGCAGGTGCCGCATCTGTCAACGAGGCGAGGTTACAACACTACTATTTCAGATTACTAGAAACAAACACACAAACAACAGCTAAGCTCAAATCCTCTTCCTCTTCTGCCCTCCTCACCCCCAGGATCACAGACCCCCAACCAACTCAAGCCAAACCATCCATTGTTATGCCACCACCTGTAGACACATCATCATCTTATCATCCACATTGACTCATGTTTGCCTCTAAATGTCTCCATGTCTTCTCAGGTGTCCCGTTTCTTGCCCTGTGTGTTATAGACAAGACTGGCAGAGTGACTACATTGCTGGGCTCTAATGCAGCAAACATGGGTTCACATCCTTGGTAAAGTGATGGAAGTTTTGTATTTCTGCCAGGGCAGAAGTAAACATGCTGACCTGCAAGGTCAATGCTGACTGCACTAGCCATAAATCCTCATTCTCAAAGTCCCATACTGCCCTAAACAGGGGTTAATACAAGCAGTAAAGTGGGTTCTGGACAAAGGACTTTCTAGTTAAACTATCAACAGGTTTTTCTCCACAGACGACCTATCCAGGATCAGATCTTTTTCTCACCTCTTGCTTTGTTGGAATCTTTTTATTTCCTTCTTTAAAACTTACATTAATTGAAGCAACAGAAACAATGAAATCAACAGCAAAAAAAAAAAAAAAATATTCAAGGGGACAAACACAAACAAATAGTAAATATGTCAGTCTGTATGAACTACTGATAATCACCACCTGTGAGACTTTCTGACACCTGACTTGAAGAAAATTCTTGGGTTGTCTAGAAATGGTCACGCAACACTGAAATCACACCATTTGGAACATATCTATATCTGCTTCATCTGTTGCTGAAGTGATCACATAGTTATAATTCCAGCAGTTAACAGGTTATATTTGCACCTTGTTCTTCCTTTACCACCTTCCTTCCTGCTAGTGCTAGATCCGATCCCTGATTCTGTCAGTTTCACAGCTGCATGTTATCTCATGGAGCAGCCCTACCCTGACACAGATCTGCCTTGTGTTGTCTGGGAAACAGACAGACATGTTGACAACTGTGCATGATAAGTTTCCAGCACTTGATTGTATTCCAAGCTAATGTACCGTCGCAGTTAACTGACAACAGGGTCACATCAACAATCACTATCTTACCATTCCCAGCCGAACATTAGTGACACGCTCCATAAACTGTTTACGCTTGGCTCGGTGAAGGAGATCACTAACTGTGGCCTGTAGTGAGCCAGATTCATCTTCATGCAACTCTTCCCTGTAAGGAGAGAAAAACTGCTCGGAATCACACACTTCCACCAACTTCATCAGTTATTATACAATAAATCAAAGCACACCTATGAACTGATCAATATTTCAACTGTCATTTGTCATCTTCAGTATTTTTAAGTAGAAGCATCACTTACATTTTTTTCAACTCCTAACGAAGAACAGTTTTCTTGTGCTTCACGCTTTTCCCACTGTTCATTTAAAGATTAAGTTAAAGTCCAGAGAATGTACTCTATTGCACCGGTTTGTTAAAATACCACATGGCTCCACCTGTCTCTGCAGAATAGCTGGCTGCCTGCAGATAACGTCACACAAAGCATGAACTCTGTAGCTTCAGTGACGATCCCCAGGGATCTCCGCAAAACTGCACTCATGAATTGAATGAAGCAGCCGTGAAACGAACTTAAAACCTCCAGAGGGCGAAGTAAATGGCTCATTTAAAGATCATCTTCATCACACATGAACATAAGTGCTGGGATCTCCTCATGAGTTTACCTCTAAGTGTTTTTAGGCTAACGACTCTCATTATGTTCTGCTTTAGGTAACGACGGGTGGCTCCCATGTGGTTTCCCTGTCTTGCTGCTCTAGTTGGTACACCCAGGGTGTGCAGATATATGTAGACTTTTCAACTCCCAATGGAAAATAGACCCTCAGTCAACTAATATCAAGCCATGTGTATTTTTAACTTCCAATGGAAAACAGACCCTCAGTCAACTTACATGCAGCCATGTGTAGACTTCCCAACTATTTGCATTGTGAAGCTAAAGTATTTTGAAGGCTAAAGTAGAAAGGCTTACCCCAGAATAGACAAATGGGCACCAGGTCGTGGGATAAATACAGGCAGCCAGTGAAATACTGACCACAAGAGCAAACATGGGCTGTCCAGTCTTGGACAATCTGCAGCTAACGACCCTGTCCACAGTTTGTCTTACCCCGTGTAAATGGACTTTCCTAATTCAAAATTATCAACAGGTGAAAAAAGAAAACACACACACAAAAACCAACAACACAAACCAGGTCTTCTCATATTCGGTCTCCCATCTGTACCCCTTGTCATCCTCTTCAGCCATACTGCTCTACTGGCGTATGTATGTGATACTGTGCTAGGCTCACTTAGATTAATAATGTAACAGAAGCTGTAGATTAAAAGAAAAAAGGATTAAACATGGTGTCTTATCTAATTCTACTAACACATATTTATATCCTATTGCTGAGTCTATTCTTTATGGAGAATGAGAATAAAAGATAATGCAGTGTAGACACATAAATATGGAACAAGTAAAATAAAGGACCCTTTTCCCAGCCTTTGGGTCTACTGGACATTCAGGGCTACACCTCCATGTTATAGACCAATCGACATTCGGTGAGCAATGTGGTCAACATCACACCAGCCGCCTTTATTTCCCAGGACTTTATCTTTAAGGCTGGGTCAACCTGGGAGTCAAGGTCATTTTTGAAGAAAGTCCGGTTCCATCATAAAACACGTAGCTACATTTTTATCAAGTTGTGGAACTGCCACACATGACAAAAAGACACATTAAAAAAAAATAAACTGTGGACAAAATATGCAGAACCTGAGGAGTGAAAAGAGTGACAGAATATAATAGTAAGTAAGTTTCTGTGATATCACACTATTCTAATCTTTACATATGATGTTGTGATATAACACTGACCACTGGGTATATGATATAACACTGACAACTGGATATATAACACTGACAACTGGATATATAACACTTGTCTTGTCTTGTCTTATCCACAATTGCCTCACAGCGTAGTGGGGAGTCGCAGTTTTCTATCCTGGGCCAGGTGTGTTGCACGTGTTGTTGTTAGTCCGTGTTGCCTCAGGATCTCTGATATATTGTCTATCCATCGTACTCTCGGTCTGCCTCTTGCTAGGGCAGTAGTGCTGTTCGTTGTATGCTCGTAGAGGCAGTTGGTCGGTTTGCATTCGCATCAAGTGGCCAAACCACTCTATTTGTTGCTTCTTTATGTATTGCAGGCATGGTGTGATTCCTACAATTGATCTAATGTTCTCATTTCGAACTCTGTCTCTCCTTGTGACATTGGCAGCCTTACGTAAGCATCTCATTTCGCAGGTCGCGATCTTTTTCTCCTGTGCTCTTGTTAGGGACCAGGTTTGGCATTGGTAGCAGAGGGTTGGTATAAACATGCAATTTATCAGTTGTCATTTTAGTGCCATAGTGATGCTTGGGTGTTTTAGCAGTGGGGAGAGTTGGTAAGTTACTGCGTTCGCCTTTTGACATCTTGCCTCAAGTTCCCTATCAATTCTTCCATCATCTGTGAAGATGCTCCCCAAATATTTAAATTGCTGCACTTGTTTGAGTCGTTCGTTGTTAACTTGAATAGTTAGTATATTAGGTGTTCTACTTATTTTCAGAATTTCTGTTTTGGTGATGCTGATCTTCATGTTATATTCGTTGCAGACTGTCTATAGCGCATTTACGTGGATTTGAAGTTCTTTTTCGTTTTCATGTATTATGTTTTGGTCGTCTGCGAAAAGTATTTCGTTCAGTTGGGGATATACTTCATCAGGATCGGCGTGTATGTTTTCATTATAATGATCTCTTTCAACTAACTCTGTCTCATTGCTTGGTGTAGTTAACAGTTCGCTTATCATTACATGGTTTGCTGCTGTTGTTATTCTGTCCATGTATATATTGAATAGTAGTGGTGATAGTACACAACCCTGTCTTACTCCTGTTCTTAGTATGAATTCGTCTGTCACACCAACATTTGTTCTAACTACGTTTGAGCTTGTTTGGTACAGAGATCTGATGTTGTCTAGTAGCTGACCTTGTACTCCATAGTCGTTCAATATATTCCATAGTTTGTTATATATAACACTGACAACTGGATATATGATATAACACTGACAACTGGATATATGATATAATACTGACAACTGGATATATGCTATAACACTGACCACTGGATATGATACAACACTGACCACTGGATGTGTGATATAACACTGACCATTGGATACGTGAAATGACACTGACCACTGGATATATGATATGTAACACTTACCACTGGATATGTGATATAATAGTGAATAGTGACCACGATATGAGATATAATGCTGACCACTGGTTATGTGATATAACATTGACCACTTGATATATGATATAACACTGACCATTGAATATATGATAACACTAAGGTAAAAATAATCTACACCAAAGACAGCAAAAACAACACTACATAGAAGTTTTGAGAGGGTGATTTTTCTTAGTTAAAAAAAAATAGGCTCTTCTTTAAATAACGATTGCTAGCTGGAAAGCCGACGGTCGCTTAGTGGGAGTTCACTCCCTTGGCTGCATTGCAAATATGGAGCGGACAAGTCACGAATCAAAACAGACAGTGAGGTCGACATCAGGGCTGCCAATGCTTGGGTGTTTCCCCCAGATGTGGGTGTTTATTTGACGCCTCGGGAAATCTGGTTTTTTAAAAAGTAAATATATCCATATTTAAAAGTGCTATTAGTTGCCACGGATGTGACTCCTGCATGCCTTAATGACCGATAAATTTGCGTGGTTAGGGGTAGGGTTGGGGTTAGGGGTAGGGTTAGGGTTAGATGTGACACTTTTAATGCAGGAGTTCCATATAATCGCGCACAGTGACATACACACCCAAACAACTGATGGACTGTGGATGCTACTCAAACAGACAATTTGCCGTCATTTGGGCACCAGCCGCGCGCTATTGCCGTCATATTTAGGAGAATTCCCATCTAACCCTATCCCAAACCCTAACACCAACCCTACCCCTAAACCTACGCAACCGTATGATGATTGGTAAGTATGTCATTTGTTTCGTCCCCTCTTTACGGTCCGTATTTGCACTGAAACCAAGGGAGTGAACTCCCACTAAGCGACCGTCGGCTTTCCAGCTAGCGATCGTTATTTAAAGGAGAGCCAAAAAATTTATAATGATGTTGATAACATTAATTAATCTGTCTGAGGAATGTCTGCATTTCAAAAGAAGTTAACACAGCACTGTTAATAACAAGGTACTGCTGGTAAACACATAACTATAATTATTACTTAAATTTTCCGGTGTGAATGTAGTTTAAGAGTTTAACACAATTCGAACTACTATAAGGAACTTGTCAACAAGACGAGACGCAGACAGAAACACATAAGTTTAGTGTGAAGTCATTGGATATTAACAATAACAACCTACACAATATGTCAACAACAACGTCCAGTTTGTGATGTGAATGTCAACACTTTAGGCTTCCAGTTTGTCAACAAGTCACAGACACACAAACAGCCCTACTTCCACTGTTTGTCTGCTTCACTGTTCCTAACCGGAAGTGCAGCTAACTCGTGCTTCGCGCCTTTCACATATTTATAAGTTGTGTATGTAACTCATCATCATTTTGTAGCAGGTCGTTTGCAGAACGTCGCTCTCATCACAGTCTGCCTAAAAGAAACTCGGTCTCTCGCCAGTTCTCCCGCTTCATACACTTTCACAAACTGCTACGCAACATTCACAAATGTGTGCAACTGCTGTAAGGTTCTGTGTGAGTGAGTTACCCACGGACATCCCAGACACAGGTTACCGTGCTACTGCTGCACCGTTCTGTGTGAGTGAGTTACCCACGGACATCCCAGAAACAGGTTACCGTGCTACTGCTGCAAGGTTCTGTGTGAGTGTGTTACACACGGACATCCCAGAAACAGGTTACAGTGCTACTGCTGCAAGGTTCTGTGTAAGTGAGTTACCCACGGACATCCCAGACACAGGTTACCGTGATACTGCTGCACCGTTCTGTGTAAGTGAGTTACCCACGGACATCCCAGACACAGGCAACCGTGATACTGCTGCACCGTTCTGTGTAAGTGAGTTACCCACGGACATCCCAGACACAGGTTACCGTGATACTGCTGCAAGGTTCTGTGTAAGTGAGTTACCCACGGACATCCCAGATACAGGCTTCAAGCCGGGAGTCTGGTCAACATTGTAAGGATCGACGTTTTCTACGAAGTCGGAGGCATCTGCTCGAGAAGCGAGGAACCAACAGTCGCACACAAATAAGCTAGATGCGTAAAACGGACGTGAATGCAAAATTCAAGTCCTGGAAGAAGAACAAAGTCGAGAAGTGGACGAACAATATGAAATTCTGAATGTCAGACATATGAATGATGACATTAATAGATCACCAGAAAGATGGAGAGAATATTTCATTGAGCTCTTTAACTCCCCCCCCCCCCCCCCCAGGGATTAACCGAGAAAGAGCACCCCGAATCCACAGAGCAATAGTGCTAGAACCAGACATATTAATTATGAAATAGAAATAGTCACCAAAAGTCCTCCCAAATATAAAGTAGCAGGAGTTGATAGACTGTCAGCGGAAATAATCCAAACAGTAGGAGTTGATAGACTGTCAGCAAAAATAATCCAAACAGCAGGAGTTGATAGACTGTCAGTAGAAATAATCCAAACAGCCGGTGAAAGTAACATCATCATCATCAGGTACCTTACTGACTGGCGTGGGCGATCATTTGAATGCCCCGTGAGTACTGACGCGTGCAATGTCCGGACTCTCTAGACACTTTGTACTGGGCCTGACCGACACGCACACTTGCCAGATGGTCTGAGACTTGACGATAATTTGCCAGTTCTCTGCAAATTCATAAATTTTCAGGGAAATATAGGCGGCTGATTTTATGGTGACCACACAACCCAACATTAGCTGACTGGTTTCTATAAATCAAGGATATAACACGAAGTGTGATGTGCCACTGATATAGCAAGTATCATGTTTTGTTAATTTCCTATCCTGTCACATGACAACACCTCCCTTGTTTCCATGGTTACCCTCCCCTCCCTAGTTGAAACTACACCAGCAATAGTTTGAATTTGTTGGTGTAAATGATTACTTCCATGAATACAGTCATGGCTGGTGGTTATTTCAGACCGAGGGTGGTACAGAGGCACCAGTGCCATGGCCGATCACAAACGATTCAGACTCAAGTGATGGCTAATGATGACAGCTACCAGGAGTGGGTATTGCAAAGATAAATAGAAACTGATTTGA